TGTATGATATTCGTAGTCGTAATAAAATATTTCTAATTTAAATTGCAGAGATTTAAATTTACGAATCTTGTAGTCTCTGTAATAATAAAGGTGATACAAGATTTTACCTGAAACTTTGGCTATCTTATTATTTAACGTACAGCAGTATAAAAATTAATTTATTACAGTACCGTATGGAAGCAATACCAAAAGAGTGAGATTAAATATGATTCGATTCCGCGAGTAGTTCATGTTGTATCTTGCGAGCTAGGGAAACTTATTCCTCTTAATAAAAAATTGAATTAATGAAAGAGTCTTTATATATCTTATCATAACTCAGATGGGAATATTTTAATCCATTTCTAACTTGAATCAAAGCCTATTATATCCATTGGGTATTAATTAAATCCATTGTTTATATACATTATTTTCATCGATCAAATTGGTTGTTTATCATAAACTTTAGCTAGTTATGATTTTCGCTTTTGAAATTTTAAAAAATTTATATCCAAAACAAACACCTCCGCCTTTTCTATTGCAAAATTAACTTGCAGGCCAGTTAGATAGGTGTATCTTCTATGACCAGAAGCAGTCTTGAATTAATATGAGATATTAGATTTGTCAAGAGTACCGGTATTCTTTAGTAATGTAGGGGATAAATTAAAATTAGTTTTACGATAGACGTGATACAGTCAGTAGTTTGCCTCAGTTGTCTAATAATGGCATAATCTTATTCTATCTCCATTGACTTTGGGAATGGAATTAATTAAAAAGAGAATCAGGTAAGTTATGATCGCAGTAACACTCATCCTTTATTACAGTTAGATATCCATTCATTAATTGTTTAACTCCTAATATCTATATCTATGTGCACTTAATTTGATATCGGAACTAGGCATTTACATAATGGAAATTATTTTTACAACATAGGATCAAATTTTTAATCCATAGGTAGAACATAGAATTCATTCTTGGCAAACACTATGGAAGCATATTGATACAGGGAACTATAAATGAATAGCGTTAAAATAATACATTATTAATTGTTCCATAATGCATATAACTGCCAGCTGAATTCATTCATTTCAAATGCACATTACCACCGATGAATCGCCTATATACTACAGACAGGCTTATGCAGAGAATATAATCAGAAGCTTTAGCATCCATGATTTCCTAGCAAGCAGCTGGTCGCCAACAATTTGTATATCGATTGACATACTCCGAATAATCAATCACTAATTAACATACTCCTATTATTACAGTACTACCGTTACGTTGTCAATATTCAGAATCAGCTTATTTCATGTATAACGTATATTTTTTTAAACAGTAGTCACTTATTGATGTATCAAAAGCTTATGGTAAAATTACTGGTACATAAACTAGTTGATAGCGGGGTATGGAAATATTACTCCCAAATAAGGGCTATTTTCCTTTTCTTTTTTCTTTACTATTTTACTGTAAGATCTATTTTTTGATGCTTCTAAATAGAAATCTGTAAATTGAGTGTAACCCGCACATGCTAACCATGTCCTCAACGTTACTAGTTCGATTAAGCATGGAACCACTGTATATTTGAAATGTGAGTTGATTTGTAGCTAAGACATGAAAGTCTCAATACAATGTCGATGATATCATGAAATTTAGCTATTATCTTCTGAAGTATGTGCTGAGGTGGGATAAGGTAGGCCATGATAAGTGCCGGATATATGTAATACTGTATGCCATCTAATTATCGAACCAAAAATGGTGTAATGGTTACTAAACAAAATTTGCTCCGTAGTCATGGTTATACGGTAACTTTAGTATCAATTTTGCTAGTTGAACAATGTCTATTTGCTTCAGTGCACTTGGCAGCTGTTCACGAATTGATCATGTCACTTCTATTTCGATAAATAGCTCTTGTATTGAACGTGGCGCATGCAAAAACTATAGTAACGTATGTCGGTGGACATTGATATTCTTTTACTAAAGCATAATTTTATACTTACAACTTGTAATATTACGGGCTGTATTCTAGATTAGCGCTTGGGCAATTACTAATATCTCTATCGAATAAGATCGCAATGAATTATACAAGACATAATTACATCAAGAAAGACTAGCTGCGGTATAATGTTGTCGATCATATATTACTTGATTACTAACTGAAAGCTAGACGTGTTCGTACATTGATCCTAAGCTTAACTTCTAAAGAATAGAATCATTATGAAATTAACACGTTGGCATAACTACAACAACAGTCTGTTGTACATTACATATCTAAACTGTAAACATGGCATGAGTAGTATAATGGTCATCAACGTAATTAATATTTTAATTTCGATGTTTTCGTTGACTGCTTAGATTAATATGTATTAATATTTTACTTCTTACTTTTAAGTCTAACTATTGGATCACGATTGTTTTTAGATTAGCGAAGTGATAAAAGTAATTTCTTTGAAAGATTTTCTGTAAGACTTCGGTGCGGTATATCTATAGATAAACGTATCAACGCCTAATGAAATGAAGCTGTAATCCGTCTGATCGATGAAGAAAGTCACAGATAACTTGCCTCGGTAGTTAAATATTGGGTATACTAGCAGTGCTAAATCATTGTATTACATACCGCAATATCTCTGTCAGCGAAACGACATGACATTAAGCTAGTGCAAGTTTAAAGGCAAGAAATATCCAATCTGATCTCATAATGTAACTTATTTCTGATTTTTTACCTGATGCTGTCTAGTATAATTGTGCTCGATTGCCAATTTCAGGAAGCAATGATTTTCATACTATTTCTTACTCATTTATTAAGCTAACACTAGTATTATTTCTTTTGGTCGCAGGAGCTTAGATATCGTTAAAGCTGATAGCGGAAGTATTGTTAACAAGAAGCATGAAACAAAACGTGATTTGATATTACAGTATTTCCTGGAAAGTATAAAAACTATCGCTCCTTACATGGTGATTAAAAAGATGACCGGAACTCTTCCATTTTAAATATACACTATATGTACGTGATTAATTCATTGATAATATTTCTATTTGTAGATTTTTGCAATTATCAATGGGGTATGAGGTCATTTGCATATTCTAAATAAGCCTTATTTGTTGAAGTTATTTTCTATGCTTTTGATCTGTTCTAGCCAATAACTGTTGATATCTAGATAAAGTAATAGCTACGATAGTTTGGTAGATACGAGCATAACAGTGGCATTTTAACATTAGTGGCTGTTGTAAAGTCTACGGTATTGATAGTGATTCAATTTCCATATCAGTTTGGCAACAGGAAGGACTGTCGATACTACTATCAAATATATGTTTTATAAATATGACAAGATAGTTTACACCACTTAATTTATCTTAAACTCTTTAGATAGAATTAAGGATATTTATTCTTATACAGTTGCTGCAGGAACTAGTAAAATAGAAATAAATTAAACACAGATTCAATAACTAGTTGTAATTTTTTATTTTTTACATAGTTCCAGCAGGAACTACTAAGATAGAGAGAAATAAAACACTGATTCAATTCAATTTGTCAACTCTTTAGATAGAATTAAGGAAATTTTTCATTGATATATGTACTGTAACTCTCCGTCGGCGAAGTGACAGGACGTTAACTGGTAATTGGAAGAAAATAGAATGTTAATGTCAAATATAAAGGTGTACCAGTTCTACAATCCGTCGTGTTGCTGACGGACTAGGACTCATAACGCTATTTATATTACTCCTGTTAATACGTATGTGAGAATCAGGTAATCACATTATTGACGTTAAACGATTGCCCATTGCATCCCTGACGGCCCATAGCTATCGAACGATCAGTTAAAGATTGTCCAATATTTCCATATCCAGTTCAGAATTTTAGCATTATAAAAATTCTACTTACGCCTACAAAATTGCGGAATTTACTGTAAACACACCGATGCAGACACAGCTGAAATATTGTATCTGTTAATTTACTGCTTGACAAATTAAACATCTTCAAAGCGGTTTTTGAGCAAGCTTTATTAATAAGTATCATAACAGATCCGATAAAAACTCAGAATGTACTCCGATAATTATATAAAACGAATTTTCACTACTAGTACGTGAACCAGTTAGATCTATACTTACTTTCTTAAGTCATTTGAGGAATGTGAATGAAACTTTTTATCGAGCATTTGGCACAACTTTTATAATATTATCTCGTCTTGCCTTTCATATTCGACGTAATAATACATATATCAAGCCAAAATATGAGTTAAATAGTGAAAAGAAGAAGGAAATTACTGTAAAGACGTACTACAAATGAAAGCAGAATACGGTCATAAACAAATTAGCACAGTATCACGCACAGAAGAGTCAAACTGAAATTACTACACTGATGCATGTTCGAAATTATAGCTAATCCAGCAAGCTTTCATCTTATATTTAGAAAGGATATCATTAAGTTAGTGAACATAAACCAAAAAATTTGATACGGCTGATAAAAGAGTTTTAAAAGAGAAGATATCAAGTACTTTATAATTTAGGTAATTGGTCGTGATATTATTTTGTATAACAAATATAGTATTAGAAAAAATTTAGGAAATATTAGACGCTGGTCTATTAAGTTTGTCTAGATTCTTAAGCAGGGTTAGTGCTTATTGCTCAACAGATTGTCTTCCAACTTTCTACTGTAATTATTCATCTATTTTTAGGAAGTATAGCTTGGCGAAACTAGTGCATAAATCATCCTAATAAATGAAAAAATGATTACGATTGTGAGCAGACATCAATGGAAGTAAAATATTTCATTACTCTACGTGATCAATTTAAATCGGATGAATAAGCTATACATATGCTACGTTGGTATCTTTAACAGTGAAAAAAATTGAGACAATCTCTACTTATAACTGTGATCAAGCCTAGATCTATCGTACGTTACGCTAATCATAGCAAACTTGATCTATTTCTACATTATTAAAGAATCAATCGATTTCACACATGTAGCTATACGTTATCACCAATAAATTGCATTATATAGTAATGTAGATGTACTGTATTCTTTACTAGATTTCAAAATAGTATTCTATGTGTATTTCGCATGCAACTTGCCTGTATAAATAATAGAAAAAGCATAGAATGAAGAAGATCAGCTTCGCCCATCCTTCTTTCTGATGCTTGGCTAGTTCTGTGCTATTCATAACCGTCGTAGGATCGTATAAGCCGGGGCCAGTCATGAATGGTCGATTGGCATATCTAAATATTGTTTTACATAATACTAGGTAAATGCAATTTATGCTATTCGATTGGCGTATCTAAATATTGTTTTACATAATACTAGGTAAATGCAATTTATGCTATATGTCTGTTAAGTAGTATGCGAATAGTTCAATGTAGAACTATCTTTCAAGTATGATAATGACAGATGTACTGTACTGTACGTAAGTACAGTCTTTACAGCAAGGAACTAACAGTAAAATAGTATTTTAACGTGGTAAAGTTATTTAAATACGTTCGAATATACTAAAAATTACATGGCAGTGAAAGATGTCCATTTCTTCTTTATGTAAATTATCAGAATAGATTTAATTTTTAAGAAATGATGCTTTATTAATACGCACTCACCGATAAATATTGTATATGATTACTGGCAAATTTATGAGCAAAGCAAATATCTGACCATCCACCAAGAAGAAGAAGCAGAAAAATAGATGGATTCCATACTCCGGTAAGATTAACTACATTCAATCAATTGCATAAAAATAGTTTTGTTCGATTAATTTAAGATTATCCACTTTGTAAATCTAGATGTAGCTGACTCTTCGTTCTTAATTGATGACTACTTCAATATTTTACAATACTCTACCAACCATCACCAATATTGAAAATACGAATGGCTGTAGTTATTAATATACAGTAGATGCAATAAATTCTATACTAATTTGTAGCATGAATCAATTTTAGATATTTGGTTAGCAGATACGAAATTTGTGATCGTACCAGTTAGTGAACGAATCTGGAAATAGCGGCAATACGTAGCCATATTTCTAATTGAGTGATTATACCTTATATGCAGTTGTGCAATATTGATTTTACGCTTTATGAACTACAGTAGTCTGTAGGAATACGCAGTAAGAAGAGAATGTTTAACCTCTTTCAAAAGAGATCGTTACAACTGACATTGTAGGCAAACGGTTTATAGTGCAATTTACTTTCTACGCCATACAGTACAGTAAAGTTATCTTGTATCATTTGTACAATATCTTATTGATGTACACACAGCATCTACACTACGTAGAGAAGATAGCGAAGAGGTAATGTTATCAACGTCAATACAGTACACTATAATTATTGTCAAACCCAATATTGACAGTAATCTCACTTTATTTTTCAATTTGTTTATAACATACTCACCGGATTTAAATTATTACACAAGTCTACCGGATTTTTGAAGTCGGTTTTGAGTTCGTCAAAGGCAATAATCTAATGGAAAGGAAGATTTAAAAATGTTCAGTTTGCTTCAAGACAATGCATACAGCTAATGACGGTGGAAAAGACAAATTGTACAGTACAGTATACTATAATTATGAGACATGTAGTGTCGATTTTGAGCGCAAACTTCAGATCAGCCATCGACCTCTTTAGCAAAAGATGTCATTGAAGTTCAACGACAGACTAGCTTTTGACATCCATTATAATTTAAAATTTCGATTCGTTGACAAGATTTTATAGCGAATACCTAGAACATGATAACAATGTCAGACGCACACAGTACTGTGCAGTATTCATATTTTGGACTGTCGTTTGATCAATTTTTTCAAGGACATGTAGAGTTTACAGAGGTATTTTTGCCTCAATGATTGTACCGTAGAGTCTATCGCAAGGCAATATAGTGGCTACAGCATAATGGTATGCGTCTTTCAGTCCAGTATGAAAACTAACGGTATTCTATCGACAGTATTGACTATTCTCACCAATTCAAGGTAATTTATTCATGTTAGTCTGGGTATTTGACTAGCCGAATCTCCTGCTTATGCTACTTGGTGTCAATGTTTCAACTATTGTAATACTTTCATCTATCGCGCTATATTACTTTATCACGGTATGAACATTGACCTGGACTGGCGACTAGTACAGTTTAGCACTGCTAAGGTACTACTGTATTTTAGCACAATTTCAATGGGATACCGTTAACGGAGTGATTCATTCCTGTCCATGATTCTCCAAATGCTATTAGAAAGTTGGATAGTTGATATCAAAGTTCAGTAAAACAAGGAAAAGGAACTTGACTGACTACCGTAATCTTGGGTCATCGATGTCAATACCCACTATGCAAAGCATGATCAATCCACTATACTGTATTAGGATAAAAATGAACTTTTCCTAGCACCAATAGCTTACTATTCTATCTTGTGGAAGACTGTAATATTTGCAATGACATTGTAGTTTGCACTTGCACTTTACTAGCCGGGTGGTGTTGTCTACATTCAATCAAACTAGATTGTAGCTAGCACACTGTTGTATTTATGGCTTGTAAAATAGCAGGCACAAGTATCTCAACATGGTTGCCGGTATAGGCTTTACAGTTGAAGAAGGACGAGTATTCGTGCGCTATTTCAGTCATCATTGATTATTCTATCATTGAAAGTAGCCTTGATGGAAAATTGTAGCTGTACAACACAAATTGGTTGAGGATAAAACAGAACTTACATGCCATACAATCATTAAAATGAGCACAGCATCGAGAATTAATGCTATGATAAAAGCCCACAGTTCCAGAGACATGGCGTCTTGAGCTTGGTCTTCCTCCAAACCACTCGGATGCAAGTGACTTGACCTACGTGTCAACTAGACTGCGCGCTGACGTTTCGAACGTCCCTGATGCGTTTCTTTGTCCTTCCACAGTACAGTACATTAAGCTTACAGTACGCGACTGTACTGTACTAGGGCACTGTACCGTGCCGGTAGTCTGACGTCATGCCATGTGTCTGGTGAACTTTCGCTTCCAGTACAGTACTGTGCAGTACAATGTCCAGAAAGATTGTACTGTACTGTACACTGTACCAGTAATTTGGAGTGTCCAGCTTTCCCAATTTGGACACACGACCGTCCCCGTAGGGTACAGTACTGTATACTGTAGGCATCCTGTATGCCTAGTACTGTACTACTGCATACAGTACTGGAGAGAGAGTACAGTACAGGCCCCAGTACTGCACTAGTAATGTACAGTACTGTACTGTAGTGTACTGTACCTCACTGTACTGTAGTTAGAACCTGTCATTTGTACTGTACAGTACAGTATTTGGCATACAGTACAGTACTGTACACGGTAAACTGTACTGTAACCGGTCAAGCTGATTTGGTACTGTACCATACGCTGTACGGCATCATACAGATTACACTGTATCAGAAAAATCTTGGATTGCACTACAGTAGATTGGAAGATTGACTCCGTTGACGAACGGCCCTCGTTGACGAACGACCCTCATTGAACAACGACCCTCATTGACCAACGATCTCGCCCTAATTTATACAGTATTTGGCATACTGTCAACCTTCAGGCTGATTTGGTACTGTACGGTATCATACTGAGTACAGTAGACAACAAAAATCTTGAATTGCACTAGATAGGGAGATTGACTCCAGCCAATCACCTTCATTGACCAACGACCTTGTGCTCAAAGAAGAAAGATGGCGCAAGCAGCGGTCTTCGTCTTTGCGCTTATTGATGATTGCTTTTTACTCTTTCTTGCTGTTTACTTTGTATCCTTTTCAAATGTTGATATTTTTCAATGTGTAGACGCATACACGCACATCCATAGGGTACAGTTGTCCATTCTCGGTATCTGATCATCGATCTGCTATTGGGCAGTGTACAATGCAGATTGCAATTGTGCCATCATTTTCTCATCTCGGCTTTTATTCCCATCGGTATAGCGTAAATCATTTTCAACCAATTCGTCTATACACTCAATCTACCACCATGACACTATTGTACTTGAGATGATCCAGACACTGTCCAAATTATCTACTCTCTATTCTCATCGTGCAATGATAATATTCACAAATCTCCCTGATCCACATCATAATATATATTAATGTATGTGAAGACACGTATTATCATCACCGATCAAGATTGATTGCCTCACTTTCTACTGTATTTCCCACAAAACTTGATGGATCATCATCAAGCAATGACTAGGTAATATTGAAATAGTAAACAATAGACAGTAGATGTACTATCGATTGGGAATGATGAAGAGGACATTGAACATTCAAAGTAAACGAGTTGCAGCAAAAGACTACTTGTTTAATACTGAATTTTAAACTTAAATTGATTCATCCTGCTTAAATGAATCATCATTGTACACTTACTACGCCTTCAGCCCTTGACTAGAAAACTCCAAGATTATAGAATTATCGGATCTAGAAAGTGACCACATCAATGCTACCACTTGCTGTACCAGGTTAAATAGGGTAAGCTTCATTGTCATTGATAGTGTACTATGCTCAAAATTGCTGTCAGACAGGAATCAGTCAAATCAACATGGCATTGTTAACTTGAAATATCATTAATTAATGAATTCATTATTAGCCTCATCTTCCATACATACACATGTACAAAAATTGCAGTATCATCAGCTGGAGCTGATGGACTGCATTGATTTAGTCTGATGTCATAATGAACTAGGGGCTACAACTACTTAATTTGTATGACAGTCTTAATTGATTAACAATATAATTGTTATTATTACTGATTTGCTATTCATATTATCAAGTCATTTACCACGCTACTCAAAACAGAAATGAGCAATTTGCAAAAACCTTATTACTAAGTCAATTTCTTTTTGTAGTGGCTGCTTCCCGAGGCTTTGGCTCAATTACTGACTACAGTCATGCTCCTGTTAAGCTTTGAGTTGATGTTCCTCATATTCACTTTACCCATGACAATATTCTTGGTTAGGAGGTATGTATAACATTTTTTGATTCAAATTTACAAGTAGGGCATGAATGAAAAGATACGGTATTACATTAGATGTGATGTTGCCTTACGAGTATGGTGATTGCTGTAAACTTGTAAAATGTATCAAGCAACGATGCTGCTAGTATAACGGTAGCTAGACGTTAGCAGTTACCCGTACAGCCAAATATAAAATCCCTACTCCACACTAAAATACAGTCTGAAATACTCTAGCATGTCCGAGGTAGTAATGACTGCTTGATTCATAAATTTTCAATAGGATAATTACCAGCCGAAGAGGTCATCTTGGATACTATGATCCCACTGAGATTTATAACAGAGGATTGCTAAAGAGTCATATCAAGGAAAGCATGATTAAAATGGCTTATTATTTGTTCGGATTTTTTATATTCTTGTTCAGGTTAGAACCAAAATTGTTACACTTAGATTAAGAAAATGCAATAGATACATATTTTAATTTTTCATGTGTTCGTAATCATTATCCATGAAAAGCTGTTGTACTGTACTGTACGTACTTAATTACAATGCAAGAGTAACTCAAATTACGGTGCTTTCGTTAATAGCATGATTATGGCATTGGTCCAATCGGGTAATGGCGATACCTCAGTTCCAAATCCAAGCCTAGCAGAAGGCCTACCTTTGTAGAGAACTTATGCCATCTCAAAATGTTGTTTATCCTTCGCCATCATGATTATACTTGATGGATCGATTATTTTGTTACTTGTCTAGTATTTCAGTTATGCTTTAACCCGTTCATCCTGGCTAAAATACCATAAACTATACTAGCAATTTACTTTTCGTTGGCTGTAAGTTATCTTACATAAGATACAGTAAATCTGTTTTTCGCTTGGGTTTTTAATATAATAGTTTTAAATTTGCATTGGAAGATTTCGCAAACTTGTTGAAGTAATTGATGACGAGATGGGAGTTTTCCGGAATAAATTGGATTGTAGATTCTTAAATGAATCGCCGGAATGGTGCTAGTTCGAGCATAATTCGCAGTTTTAGGGTTTGAGTAAAATTATGCAAGGCTGATTATCCTTAATCTTAAATCTGTAATATACATGTATGTTGCGTACTGACAGTATATTCGATATTCTCTTCTTTACTGATTCTGTTGTGAATGAAACGATATTGAATGAGTGTGCTTTCTTTCCGTGATAATTGTGAGCATCTAAACTATTCCTTTAGAAACTGTATATATAAATACAATACATCTAATCTTGCTTATTAGATATTTTAGCGGATTTAAAATTGAATCATCTTACAAGTTGTAATTGTTTTTAACCTCCTAAAAGAAATTCCTTTCTTAAGTAAAGAAACAAATAATAAAATTGCATCAACTGTTTGTAAATCATACAGTATAAGAGATTCAACCATATTCTCTTGCGTGTATATAAGATAACTTTATAAGATTGTCAGAAGAAGCCATTCTATCCTTTCAGTAATCTTTGAAACTCTAGGAAATAGTTAATCATGCGGATTAACTTGTTAATGAAGCGATATTCGATGTAACCTATTAATAGCGTACATTGCATCCTTCTTATATACTCATAGTGACAACCGAGAAAATCACCAAATTGCACGTGCACTTTTACATTGATGATCCCAGGTTTATAATTACGCAGTAATTTTTATTTGCTAGTCCTTGAACGCTTTAAAATTTTCTTTAAATCAATTAAATTATTAATGCTGCTAGACGACAACCGGTTCAATTGAAGCGAATGTTTGACTAACTAATTAAAGAGTAACATAATATTCCTAGAAACGGTTAGCTTAATATTGGAATTTTAAAAATAATGTTTAATGGTTTACTAGAATATCTGACGAAATATCGTTGATCAACTATCCGTGATGATATGAATCATGTTTTGATATGTACATTAGCTCTTGCAACCATGCTATATACTACATGATACGTTAGTACTAAAATATGTTCTTTAATTATCGACTCGGGAATAATCGCTAGTATTTACGATCACATAGTATTCAGCTGGTAAATATGCTATATTCAACATGTGTATACATTATTTATTAGAGGTTATACTACGTCAATCTAAATTGAGTTTACTGTGCCCTAGCAAGTATAATCTTTTCGTAATAGGTTATATGCTTTAAGCTTTTTGTATAAAGATTTTGAATCTATAATATAATAACTTCCGAAATAATTGCATACATTCATTGAAAGCGAAATCGTTTTTGCTTATAATTGCATTGGCGATATAGTAGCAGAGTGGTGCGTATCTATATTTATGAAGTATTTAATCTATTTAATATTTTTGAAATGTTTCTATTCAGAAGTCGAAATTCTTTTACTGATGTAAGAAATGTCAAAATATTAAGGTACAATTTTAAGCCATTAAATCAGTTTTACGGTACTGCATAAGTTGCAGTTATGACAGAATTGGGTAACAGTAGGTGTTACGATGCCAGTAGCAAAAGACAAGAGTTAACGGAGTTTATAAGAAGCTACTGGTTAAATTTAAAGCACGCGATTTCTAGTATTTTGATTGGATTGAGTTCAAATTTACCTTCAACTAGTATCATCAACGCCAATAGTCAGTGATACCACATATTTTACCTCCAAATTGTAGAGATTGATCTGGTTTCTTGCGTATATAAATATTATTATCATGCTTCTTTTGAAATAATTCAAGTTAGCCATTGATTTAGCTATTTTAGGCGTTTCTTAGATCTAGTAATACTGTCTTTGATCTTTAGCCATTTTACATAACACTAATGACTAATTTGCTATGCGATAGCAAACGGTTTACTGTTAAAGCATGCAATGGTATATTCATGATCAATATTAGATTTTTCCAAATTCAGATTCAGTTTATAAAATATCCCAGTTAATTGTAAACATTTTAATACGCAGTTCATGATATACAGTAGAATATGGTGTAATAAATGAAAAATAATATAGAAATTCATAACAGCTGTCGATGTGGTTAGCAAAAATTGTTATCAAATCGATCATGTAATTAGCGATTGGTTTGCAACTTTCCTTTTCCGTCAATTTAAATTATTTCGCCGATTAATATATCAATTCACAACTATACTATACAAACGATGACTGATCTTATCTTTCTATCGAATATATTAATTTTGTACAATATTGGCATGTACACTTAACTTTGATGTTTTATCTGTGTTCCAATTTCATTCATTACGAGATAACAGACAGACAGATCAGTTTAAATTTACGGAAAGTGCTATCGATGCATTACATTAACCTACGTGAGAACAATTTACTTGATCATGCTTATTCTTACCTCAGACTACATTGAACTACACATATATAAAATAGTGAAGAAAAGTACGTCGTGCAAAGTACAATTTCTTATCTTCTTCGCATGATTATGACTATAATAAGAAATCCGATTAATATTGCCATAAGATATAAATCCCAGTTGTTTGTCAAACTTTTATCAAGTTTCACGTCATCCTGTTTACCGCTCAAATAGCGTCCAAAGCCCTGTAATACAATTACAAAAGAGTATAATTATATTTTGTTTCAATCGATGAAATAGTAACAGAGAGAACCTCTTACTTACATGTCTTAGCCATTCAGCGGTGTATAAAAAAGACAATTTTGCTAGGGCTAGCTTAACAGGGATATAAGCTTCCGTACTGGCTTCGGATGCCATATCATAATACCGTTTTGCCAAATGCATATCCTAATCGCAGCAAGTATCACATTATATTAGTGATAGTAATAGGGTTTACAACACCTAACCAAAGCTATTTACAAATGGAATGTTCGTAGTGTACGATATTAGTAAAATTATTAATCACCCTTTTCAATCCTAAACCTCTTTCGTGCATGTAAGCTAAATTAAACATAGCTTGCGCATTATTTTGTTGTTCGGAAGCAACACGATAATTTAACGCAGCTGCTTCGTAATCAACTTTAGTACCAAAACCATAATAGTGATAATCTCCAACTTTAACTAAAGCCACCGTTGATCCTAGTAGTATCGAAAAGTAAATATGATTGGGAATAATATTTGTTTAACATTTTTAACTAAATAACGTGAATTTTTACCTTGTGATGCTGCTCGTGACCATTGCAATAGCGCGCGTGGATATTTTTCAGTTTCTCGGATATGCGAGGCTTCACCTATACGAGATTAAATTGTAAGCGTAACTGAAATGACGTATAAGATCGCCTGCTAGCGACTGGACGTTGAAGATACCATTGTAATACCATATAGTTATACACATATATAAGCAAACAACTTCTTGCCTTTATCAAGAATATATGCAACGTTGCTTTGGGCAATTTCATAACCAAGCTCAGCCATAAAACCGTACTTAATAAGGGCATCACTAATTTGCCCGTTTTTAAAAGCATTGTAGGCTTCCATTAATATTCGCGACCACTGTCCTCTTTCAGCTACTGTTTTCAATAGCTACAATGAAATAACCAAAGACGTTAATCATTATAGTTTGGCTAAATATTTTATGTCACTGTGGGTTTTCAAAGTAGAGATTTTACACCCTAGATTTCGAATTTCTTATAATAAATATACTACAAGGTGATAGTATATTAATACAAATATAGTAGCTTATAATCTTTATAACAATCAATTCTTACTTCAGTGGCTGTATGGCAGGATCGGATGATACCATTTCCGGTTGCATGGAGCATGCCAAGGTGATAAATGGCTAAAATGTGCCCTGTAATACAATACATTAGTTTAAAATTTGTATCAGTAAGCCAACTTTAAGAAGAGTATATTATATCTGGATGCTCGTACCACTTTGTGATGCTAAATTGAAGTACTTTACAGCTTGCTTCAAATCTTTCGGCGTCCCTAAGCCTTCTGCAGTAATCATATAAGATATATTTTAAGTCATTTATCGTAAATTAATAAATTGTAATCAAAATAACTTATAATCTGTGCCTATTTTAATATTTAGAACATTTGATTTACTATAGTGCATGAGCCCTAGCTGAAGTTGTCCATCAGCCCATCCTTGCTGAGCAGATAGTGAGAATAGGCTGAAGGCTTTTTTATAATCTTTAGCAAGACCTTTACCATGTAAATACATATCACCCAATCCACAGTATCCGATAGGACTTTTCTATAGATATTGGGTGAGAAAATGGAATTAGAGGCGTGAATATCATTATATAGTACTACAGACTACTGTGTTTAAACTTAAAATCATAATCGCATTATAATGAAATACCTTATCAACTGACTTTCGGAAATACTCTAAGGCCGTACGATTGCTTTGTTTGATATTCCTGCTACCTTCTGAATATAACTAGGAGTAATGCAACAGATGGAAATAAGTATATACGAATTTTTACTCGAATAAATCGGTATTATTATGATAAAATTATAAAAATTATACTACGGCTTACTTTTCCTAAAAAAGCATCACCAATACCATCAGTTGCTTTAGTAGCCATTTTAAAATACTTTAATGCTTTCTATAAGAGATAAAAACAGGAATATTCGATATTTTTTATTCCGACGTCAAATCAACTACTGCAAGGTCAGCTCTATGAAATTGTACATTGATTAAAGCCAAATAAGAAAATCGATATATACCAGATGATCTTTCTTAACTCCTCTACCGCCTTGATAGTATAGTTGTCCTAACGCTGTCTAAAAATTTTGAGTACCAGCACATTTAATGGAAGCGGTGTAAATATTCAGCATCATCACTTTAATTTTGATTGTATTGTATATACTAAAGGTTATTTTCCATGGTCTACCTACCTGCGCTTGCAAGTCACCTTTCTCAGCCAGAAATTGATAATACTGTACGATGTCATCATCTAGTAGACCAATTTTTGCAGTACCCTACATTTATTACGAGAGCATTTGATTATCAAGGTGCAGTAATGTTAGCTTTTAAGAAGAAATTACATCGGTTCGAATAGGTAGCATAAGATAATTAGTTTATGCAAAATCAGTTATTCCTGCAACTGTGCGTACTTGTTCGGCTTCTTCAGATAATCTAATTCTATGTATAGCATCGCCACCAGAGGTTGCTGCTGCTGCCACTACATTATAGGCAAAATATGAGTTTAATAGAGATTTATGATATTAAGGATATTACTATGGAAGGTTCAAAACAATATCAGATTACCTTTTGTTGCAACGCGTTTATAATAAGATAGTGCTGTTTCACAACTTTTAGAAACACCAATACCATTAAAATATCTATATCCCTGTAACATAAATTGGGTACAGTGTGAATGACTAATTAAAAGGACAATTTTTATTACGAAATTAGGTTTAAGATGCTCACCAGTGACATCTCACCAAAGGTGTATCCTCCTAAGGCAGAGAAGGTATAATAAACCAAAGCCTATTTTTCAAGTGATAATAACAACAATATACGTTAGGGAAAGATAATTTCGTTAACAGTAACTAGTTGTGATGGCATAGATACAGTCAGCAGTATAATTGGTATTCTAATTTTGTAAATAACTCACTATTGCAATATTATGCAAAACCATAAGATAAATAGTTAGCGTAATAAGTCATTGTTCCTCATTTGTTACTAGGATGTTGGTTAAATGCGTAACATAAAGCATTATTATCATTTGACCTTAGCTTGGCTTGAATTGAAACCAAGTCCGGTTGCGTGCAGATAGCCTAAACCCTACATATGTTTACAATAAAAACAAGATTTTTGCTTATTGCAAAGTATGTGTACAGTATAGGACCTGCGATAAAAAATATAGTATATAGGGCAGACGATAGTTTTATTGCTATAATTTAGTGACGACTTGTAAACTTAACTTTCCTTTAAATAGACAAGAGATTTATAAAATATCCGTATACGCATAAATAGTTAATATTGTGTTTACATGCTGGCCAGCAGGATCGCCTTTTGCCGCTAATTCTTCTAAATCTTCAATAGCTGCCATGACGTTTCTTGGAAAAACATCTCCAAACTTTAGTAGAGAAATTTATCAATTTAGGAATATTAAAACAATTGTGAGCTGTATTACATTGTTTCTTTATTCTCAGATTACAGCAATACGTATGTAAAATTGAAGAGTATTTTAATTTTAGAAGTTATAGACTAACCAACTTTGCCATAGCAAAATATCTTCTGGCTTCAATATACCCAAGATTTTTCGCTATTTCTAGCAGTTTTCGAGCACTAAATGACAGCATTGGCATTATGACTTTTAATATCGAAGTAAATTACTAGTGACATAAGTCAAAACAGGTTATTAACCTTTCCTTATTGCCGTCAAATTCACTCAAAATTTCTAAGGCCTGTTCATATTCAGATTGGCCTGGTGCTAATAGACGATTTTTGGTAAAGAAAATTTATAAAATCTTAATATACATCATGCACAAATTATAATTATGTAGACGAAGCTTGCAAAATAAGATTACATATATAGGAGTACTTTAGTATTACTCAGACATGATGGTATTACTTAAATGGCAGTGGTAACTAAGAGTACGATCAATTGTAATATCTATAACTAAGCATGAGAAATTTAAATAACAAAATATTGTGGTTAATTAAGAGTATATTTATGTTACGCAGATATGAAGACATTATTTACATGTTAGCGATTACTATAAAATGTGGTTAATTTTAATGGTTACAAAGTATAGAAGAGTAACTTAATAAAAAATATGTTATTTTATCAACAATATCATTGTCTCTTCATTTATAACTATAAAACAATGAGCATGAAAACATAGTCCTATCATGATAACTAAACAAAAAAATGTAGTTTACATCAGTAATTATTTCAGAATTGCAAAAGTAGAACAATTACAATTAATCTTGGATCGCAGATTATCGCTAAGAATTAATTTTACTACATGATCTTAAAAGTCGATGAAAAAATTTTCATTTTACATTAAGAATTTATATAAAGACTATGATGAACAGTATTAATAAGATAGCCATCACTGTATACCTAGATCTTCCTTTTTCTCTTGTTCAGCACTACTTTCTGAATCACTACTATCTTCATCTTCTTCTTGAATATCGTCATCTAGCTGTAGTTCCATTGGATCAATTTGCTTAGTTGGTGAAGAAATATCTTCCGACCGTTTCCGTTCATTAGAACTGCTGGAAATCTTGTCGATAATACGAAATTTATTATCTGATGATTGACCGTCATTTTGAGATGCAGTGTCACTTTTCTCATTATCTTGATAACTAGCAGAGCCAGATTGTCCATTATTATCACTGTTGAGATTATTTGGTAACCTATTATTTTCCTGAGCAGTATTTGAGGAAGTTTCTCGAGAATAAGTACCATCACCATTGTTGACCAAGTTATCATCATTCTCTAGCTGTGTTTTAACCGGTCGTTTCTCCTCCAATTCCTCTTTGGTAAGCTCAACTAGCGATTCAACCTCTTTCAGTAGTTTCTCCAGTACAACGTCGGAAGCGAGTTTCAAATTATTAAAATGATCGGTTTTTTCCTCACCATTTCCACCGGTCGTTGTCTCAGAATCTGGCTTGCCTAAAGATTAAAAATCATATTAGATTTCAAGTGGTATTTATCACCATCAACCAGTGACTAATAAATCTACTTGGTTAATCAAGTTCAAGATTCGTCACAAGATGTCTCATGATTTTATAGCACATTGTAACAACTTTATCGTACTTGTAGCATCGGTGTCTTCAGCATCTTTTTTGTCCACTTTGGATTGTTGTTCATCAGCAGTCTGGTCAGCTAATACAAAACATTCAATGTTAATAGCGTAACAGACGTGCGTTATAGTAGAGTTTTAGTAACAATAATGTACTCTATAGCGTATAGAAAATTAAAGCAGTAAGAAATTACGTCAGTCGATATGACTGTCCAACTGAGTTAATGAGATCGAGGCCTGAAAGTCAAGTTTGTGGTCATTTAATTCGTCTAACTTGCAGGTTATTTATTTATCTATACTACGGTAGTAAGATGTGTAGTACTGTTACTGTTGCAATGGAGTCCAAAGTCATTAATCAGTGACTGCCATGGAAGTATTATTAAGTAAAGGCAGTTTTCTAAATGCTATCAATGAATCAACGCAGGGTTGATGAATAGGGATGAGAATTTACAGATAAAAGTTAACTAACAGACGGTAGGAAATTTGATGATCTACTAAGATGCTAAGCAATATTACTTCTACTCGATCATTCAGAGACTGTCATGGTAGTATTGTAAAGTAAAAATTTCATTATCAATGAATCAGCGTAGAGTTGATGATCAAGGATAAGAATTTGAATATATATAGACGTAATTAACCGATAGACCTCAAGAACTGCTATTCTTACGGGTTATCTATTTACTCGTATGGTAGAGTAGCAACAAGCTTATCACGATTACACGTTGACCAAGTTGATCTTTCAGAGATAGCTATAGCCGTACAGTATTCAAGACATGGTTCTACCATTAGCATAAGGTTACTACATGAAAGGTAGGAAATTTTGTGTATTGTGTAGCAGCACAAACAGTCAGAAATACTATTCTAATTCAGAGGTAGATTTGGGATTAGTATGTAGCAAAGCCATGACCACCGGCTGACGTCGGCACGTCCCTACTACCTACCTTTGAGAGCGATTGAAAATAATAATAACATCATATCAACATAGAGATTCATTACTTACAACATGCGAATGCTACAAGGACAACGATAATCCAGTACATCAGGTAGTAGTCCTTCATTTTTGAATTGCTCATATTTTATGCCTAAAATTACTAATCAATAAAATGCAAAGCGTCTTTCCAATCCACTTCCACAGTCTTTGCAAGAATGGATTAACCAATGGCTTCTCCACTGATTCGCCTTGAACTTGCAAGCTTGTTCCTAACGTACTCAATTTTTGTAATCTCTACTCGTTCGACTAAGGGATTTACTCTTTCAATAAGTAAGATTAACTAGGCTACAGTACAGACTACACAAAGAATTCTCTTATTCACCTTGTAATGAGGTAAAACCAAGATGAAATAAAAAATTTCTGAAACAACTTGTTTAATTAATTAAAAATGTTGGACAATGCAGTGGAATTGAACCAATGAAAAAATGACAAGATTACGCTGCAGTTCCAGTGTCCAATGTCCGTACTTCCCGTGCATCGCTACGATGTGGTTCGAACTGAGTAGAGTGCAGTACAACCAACTATGAACATGCGCAGTACAGTACAGTACAAACAACTATGAACATGCGCAGCACAGTATAGTACTGTAAAGTCAAAGATTACGCTGCAATGCCAGTGTCCAATGTCCGTACTTCCCGTGCATCGATACGATGTGGTTCGAACTGAGTAGAGTGCAGTACAAACCACTATAAACATGCGCAGTACAGCACAGTACTGTAAGGTCTACAGTATGGACTACCAAATAAGTACTGTACACTGTACTGTACTGTACTGATTTTAAAGTACAGTACTGTACTGTACACTGTACAGTATTCTGCAAGACAGACGGACATTTCTTACCAAATGAGGCCATCAATATCCAAAAATGGCTACTCAGTATGGATCTTCCGTGTCTGTTTTCGAAATCACTGGTACTAATTTTAATAACATCGATGATCTTATATTAACTGTCTCCAATCGGAACTTAGTAACAGATCATAAGATTGAGCGTATTATTACTTAATTTAGAAATAACCAGTCAGTTCAAAATCGACCATCTGTACTGTATATTAATGAAAGTGCTGTCGTAACGAAGTGTCACTCAGTCCTGTCCAGTCCGGTCCAGTCCTAGTCCTAAGTTGGACCCAATATTTTAACGGGATGAGGTCCATAATGTCTGTCCAAAGTGTCCATCCAAAGCATATTCCAGTGCTTGGTACAGCAATTCATAAATAACTTTGTTACCACAGGCTGACTAGTGTACTATACTATAGTGTCCAGATGATACTGGAACTGTGAACACCATGCATAGTGAACACTGCTGAACACCTGGCGTAGTTAAACTTGTCAGCTCCAGCCGATCAGCAAACGCGATAACTCAATAAAGCAAAATTGGAAACTGTGGATTGCATCAGAAGAAGGCGAAATGTCCAGCAAGGTAGAATAGGATAGAGCTGGTTAACAATAATACTGAATTGACTCTACTGGTAGCAAATTGTGAATGCTTATGATGTAATTGCCAGACTTGCTACTGACAAGTATCACACTACGGTGTTACTGTTTGCAATGCAAACTTGAGAGCTCATTTCAAGTTGCTTCCGCTTTTGCAGCATAACATACGCGTATATTGCAATATTATGCAGCGCTGATTGAATACCTGGTGGATCAGCTTTGAAATTAGGCTTTGCAAGCATAAAATTGATCTTAGTGCTTTGATAATGGAGAGTTTACAGGATATGGAATCAAAATATCAGAAACAGTAAACAATGTCTCGCGCTTTGTTGTAATTATCCTATCATCGATCTCAAAGAGTTTCACATTCTAAAACTACGATCGACAAACTCTCTTTTACTGTGCATTCACAAGTTGCTGTCAATAGGATCGCTAGTACTATGTTAGTTTTGTCTAAAAACTACTCATACGCATAATTAGAAACTGCATACCGTAAATCGTTCAGTTAATATCAGTGGCAATCAGCAATGGACAATACTGTCATGTCCAGTCTATTGAAAAAACTCTTAAAATATTCAAATACTACGACTAAAACACAATACTAACTAAATCTATGACTTCACCATATTTAGCCACGGTTGTACTCTTATTTCCGCAGCACCTGTTCTTGGCGTGTTAGAATAGGTAAACTGATTATTTATTGAATTCAATATAATGCTCGATAGACGAAGTACTGTAGATCATAATGTTAACGAGAAATCCTAAGGTTCCTGTAGTGTAGTTAAGGACTTGTCATCAATGTTACTATGCATAAGGTAAGTAAGTTGAATTAGTATCATCAAAAGTGACTAGCTATTAACTTGTTTACAGTATGCTATGAACAATTCGCTATCATCTAGGTACAGTAGCTACAAAATGCAACTGTCATATATAGACATGTACTTTTGAATGCTAGCTTCTCATTGATAAGCTTAAAATTCTCGCTCAGGGTCTGTTGACTATTTCATTTTTCTCGGAGGTTGTAATCAAAGATTTTTCAATCTTTTTTTATATTGTAAGCTCTCGCTCTCAAAGGAATCGAATATGATTATCATCCTGTGCACTTGTTAAAGGATGGTGGCGAACAGGCTAGTTTTAAGGATAAGTTTAAACTACTTTACGTTCGTACGAAATTAAATTAATCTTTATTAATTTATTTTTTAGTTTAAGGACGAATACAAAAGTCTTAATCCGAATTCCTTATTGCCAGCACTGGAAATAGATGGCCATTGTCTAGCAGATTCGGTGGGTAATCTCAATTACAGTAACATTATGAGCCTTATGGAATTTTTCTAGTACGTACAATACAGTAATGTCGAGGATTAACCATGGACGTATATGACAGATGAGTATTATAGAATACTTGGATGAAACAAGACAAGATCCACCGTATTTGTTACCGAAAGATCCAGCAATAAGAGCGACGGTATGTCGATCAATTTGCGAGTATAATTGAAGATACGTGTATTTAAGAAACTTTTTTTACCAATGTTTGAGTTATCACTATGAAGTAGAGATAGATACTGCATATACAACTTCTCTACACGGGATCGGATCATTCCTAAATCATCTGGAGCAAATAGTACGATTTCTGATTTATTTGCTTTTATCGCATGTACTATATCTCCCTATAGGTACGACGAATTAGCAACAATATTACTAGTGGTATTCAGCCAATCCAGGTCTCTAATACTGTCTATTTTATTTATAACTACGATGGAAACGGCAGCTACCCTATTTCAATGAATACTTATAGTATGATCTTTGTTCACAGAATCTTCGAGTGCTGATCTATGTAGGCGCAGATAAGAAAAAGGAATGGGGAAAGCACTGGATTGAGCAAGGCTTTAATTGTAATGTTACTCATTCTAACGTTTGATGATGCATATTACTATTATAATATAACCTTCTGTTGGTGTACATCTGGTATTTATTACTACGAAAGTTAGATCTCTAATTAGAGTTTAATAATTCATTGACAAAATTTTCTTACTTAAAATATGGATAGCTCTAGAAGAGTTATTAGAAAAGACTAGTGGTAAATATTGTGTTGGCGATGACATCACCATGGCTGATCTTTGCTTGATTCCACAAGTTTACAATGCTAATAGGTACTGGTTTACCAGTGTGTATGATAAAGCCTTAAATCAATACTCGCTAATCACTCATTTTATATTGGGTATGACAAGGTTTGAGGTGGACATGTCCAGATACCCAATTATAACACGCATCAATGCGCAGTTAGAGAATCATGATGCATTCGTAGCAGCTCATCCAAGGCAACAACCTGACTGTCCGGATGAACTCAAATAGAGTTAGCACTGGATGACACTTATCGTTAACTGGTATACGAATGATGTCTTTCTATCGATTAGAACGTAGATGCAATTAAGATTTTAGTGATCTGTTTAAAAATTGGTGCTGTAAGAGGACTTGTACAGTGAGAAATAGTAATGCTAATATTGTAGACGCTGATTTTTGCTAGCTATTATCACATAAAAAATTATAAAATATATGCTAATTGTATTGCAAAGCTGCTCTTTCTCTCAATGTGCAGTATGTGAGGCAAATCTGGCAAATAAAAAGGATCGTCATAGATTATTTCTTACGTACGATAAAATTATAACGCCAAAAGCATGCGTTCAGAATTCTCGAATCAGTCGTTCTGGAGGAATGAATTAACCATTACAACATTCATATTTTAAATTATCCTCAATTTGATTGAAAGGTTTGATGATTGGTCATTAGCCGCATTTAAATTAGCTGTATTTTTCAAGGCAGAAATCAACCCTGCGCTGTCATGGACGTAGACTAACAAAGAAAGCGGCTCTTTCTAATAGAATTGCAAGACGGTGATATTTTGTAACTGTGCTTGATATACAGTACAGTAGGCAACAATCAGTTGCAATTGAATATCTACTCTTCCTTTAAATGATTGCGTTAATTACATTATTTACAAATAAATTATACTATTTATTTATTTACTACTAGTTGTATCTGCAAGGCCGCTTTATTGTTTATTAGTAATAATTATGAGATGTATTACGTATTCCTACTGAATATTGGGCTCTAAGTTGAAAATTTCTTCCCTTTACAAGTCCTTAGTTGAAGGCTTCCAATTGGTGTCCAGCAGTTTTTGACTTTTTGCTATCTTCTGTAGTCAATCGACAGTTGAAATCTTTTCTACTGCAGTGCTCTAATCGACACCGCTTCATCGAACCCATTCCATGATCAACTCGCCCAAGTTGCCTGATCAGTTCTCAAAGTAGTCAGCATTCCATCTACACTAATTTTTATACTGGTTTATTTTTATTCCTACAAGGATTAAGAACTGGTAAGGGCAACTTGAGCTGAGGCATCAGTTTTTGCTATCTTCTGTAGTCAATCGATAGTTGAAATCTTGCATTGCAGTGCTTGAATCCACACGGCTTCATCGAGCCAATTACTTGATCAACTCGCCCAAGTGGCCCAATCAGTTCTCAAAGTAGTCAGAATCACATCTACAGTCGTTTTCATATTGGTTTATTTCCATTTCTATATGGATTAAGAACTGGTAAGGGCAACTTGAGCTGAGGCAGTCGTTTTTGCTATCTTCTGCAGTCAATCGATAGTAGAAATCTTTTACTGCAGTACTCTGTTTGCCACGGTTTCATCGAGTCAATGACATGATCTACTCGCCCAAGTGGCCCGATCACTTCTCAAAGTAGTAAGGATCGCCATTAGTCCATTTCTCTGCTAGTGGTTTAATCACTTGTCGCTAAGTTGTTATGGACTCTTATTATGACATCATTTCAGTACAATACTATATACTGTAGCCGATTACAATACTTAGTACTATAAAGGCGGAGAAAATACTGTACAGTACAGTACAGTCCAGTCCAGTACATTACAGTGTACAGTATCTGGGCCACCGTAAAATACGGTACGGTACTGTGTTGTACTGTACACTGTACAGTACAGTACTGTACTGTACATTGTACTGTACTGTACAGTATTTCCCCCGCCTTTACAATACTAAGTATTATAACAGGCTACAGTATATAGTATTGTGCGGACCCTAAAGGTATCGGGCCGAACCGAGCCGAACTCAGGTCTAGTTACAGACTTACAGTACAGTACAGTACTGTACAGTATCTGGGCCACCGTACAGTACAGTACAGTACGGTACGGTACTGTGTTGTACTGTACTGTAATGTACCGTAACTAAATCTGAGTTCGGTTCGGTTCAATACCTTTATGGTCTATCAGTATAGTCTGTATTGACTCTGTAAACATTCTTTCTGGACAGTACCAACTGATACACTACAGTACAATCCAGCACTCAGTAAAGGATATAAAGGCGAGGCGATTCTTCAGTATGTGTCAATACGTTCGAGGTCTTGAACAGTTTTTGAGATTGATTTTTTTTTGGCTGTCGCAAGATTGTTGATTTTTTCTTCTCCATTCCTATTCCCTGCTAAATAGTCCACCATGAAATTGACATTGGCTATTATCGCTATCATCTTTTGCATTGGAACAGTTTCAGCTGGTATGTGTATTCTTTGTGCTGTTGGATGAGTTTGAAATAGGACAGGAGAAAGTTGTTTATCATTAGGAATAGTGTACATACAGTAGGATACAGGACAGCAGGTTGGGTTGCGTTAGCTTTTTCAGTATGGATATGCATGTTGTTGGTGTCAGCGATTTCCTAAATTATCCAAAGTTGGACGTAGAATCGTTTTGAAGACGAACTGGTTAGCATCAAAAGTAGTGCCAAGTAGTGCGCCATCAATGCAAATCAACTCTTTTGTTGTTAGACGTAGTTTATCTTCCGACGTTACTGATCATGATCGACGAATAATGATAAATTCATGTAAAAGGCATCGGTTGAATATCTCTTATGATGAAAAATTGTCTTCTTTTTACAAGATGAGTGTATAGGATTAAGTCAGCAGTAATTGCCATTCTATTGCCTATATTAGTCAATGTACAATCCTGAACCGGCCTAATGGACAAATATCAGTCAAGAATAAGAGACTTTCTGTAGTTCAAATCTCAATAATAATAACGTACGGTTTAATGAGTCTGGAAGTAAGTCATACGGTAAACTGTACTGTCCTCAACAACTGCTGCAACCACACCGGTCATAATATTGGTTATTTTCTTTCTAATGCAACTGTAATATCTGCTATGACAGTATTAGGATCATTGCTTCAACAGTAATATCCAACTATTAGTTTTGTAAAATTTCAAGCACTTGACTGGGCACTAAACTTTTGATTTATGGATTGCCATGTTTGTCGGTCTAATGTCTGATGAAAGTGGAATAGCTTGTGCGCTTATTCGCCTACAGTATCAGCAATGCAAGATTAGGTCATAGGTCGTCATAGCTTGTGATCATTACTCAACATTAATCAATACCTTTACACATTGTCTTCTTTAGCATGATATTGTTGTTGTAAGAAAATAATATTTTCTTAGAATAGAAAAAGTTGAACTCTGATTTCAATGCCTGAATACTGTTTATTTATGACTGGGTAAAATTTTAGTGAAGTTGCCTCCATGCTGGGCTTATTTACAAGAACATGCTTCTATTTTGGAACATGGTGAACCTCATATGGTTGGTGGCTATACGCCTCAATGTGATGAAGAAGGTTACTACAAATTGATGCAATGCAGTGGAAGCACTGGATATTGTAAGTGGTATATGGATGCTATAATTTTGCTTAAGGAAATATAGTAGAATTAGCCTTGCAAAAGCATTTGACTTTAGTGATTGGCTAGTAATTCTCAGATTAATGATGTCAAAACATCAGTGTACTGTATTACGATCGCAAAAATAGAATGGGCATATGTACTGCCATTGCAATTATTCTAAGGGAATAAAACTATTCCAAGTGATTTAACTAGTAGGACGACAATAAAGTCAAAATACCAATAATGTACATATTGTACCTAACAATGTAGTGCGGCACGGTATCTCGACTATACATAGAATCTTCATCTGCTTGCAATATGTGTTATCAATAATTTTACTCTTTACAGGCTGGTGCACAACACCTATTGGTTTGAAAGTACCAGAAACTGATCGTCGACCAGGCCATGCAAATGGATTAGATTGTAAGTTCTTATGCGACATGGGTACAGTGTTAATAAGACTACTTCTTATATGTATATATATACTTGTATTTTTAATTTGATCGTATACAGTCAGCATATAGGAATCGGATATATAGCATTTAGAAGTACTGTAGATTCTTACTCGATTCTTTTTATATCTTTCACTGTTACTTATAATTTCAGTATGTATATATAATATATATTTATAGTCGGTAAGTACGCATTGTGAATATACAAGTATTATTTTCAAGTAGCCACGATGATATGACGTAGCTGTTTATCGCATCAGCTGAATAGATAGCTTAAATCGCTTTGAATTGTAGTAGTATCCTTACTGCTTAGTTCATGCGCTATGGAACGTTAGCCTTGGATAATTGATGGGCCCATATCGTTTTTAGATATGGAATATAATTGGATTTACTAAGTTATGCTACTCTTGTCTGTTGAATTCATCTAGGCAAAGCCGAAGTTGCAAAGTATGCTAATAGTTCATAATGGTAGTCCATGAGAGACATACGGACGGTATCAAAAAAATTATCAAAATTGCAACAGTAGTAATAATACGTATAGATTCTGCAATAGATAAAATAATTATACACGTATAAAGGATAATTGTTTTTCGTCCAATAATCAATCATGATTCTACCGTTTTTCCCCATTAATATTGTAATTTATATAACTTTAGATGAAAATGAATTCTATTAGACATTATGATCCGAACGCTGTTTTCTTTAAACCGTGGTTAATAACACTCTTCAATTAATTTAAGTCAACATCGATTTTAACAAGCAATTAATATTACCATATAATTTACAGTACTTTTTTGTCGTTCGTTCGAATAATAGACTAATAATAATTTTAGATCCAGGCATTTTATAAACAGTAATAAAAATAGGCTTAGAACATTCATAATGGTTTACCATATAACGTTTATACTAGCAATGTGCAATCCTTCTTAAAATGGTCCGGTCTTTCAAATTAACTGTAATTCGTTGGGCTAATGTGATGACTATTATTTTTTGAATGGTACTGCAATGGCGCAAAGGGGTATACCTTGTTGAGTATAAGGCAAGAAATTCTAGATGCACCTATATTTCTAGAAGTCCGTGTATAATGGTACGAATATACCGTGTCGTATATGCGCGATGAAAATAAAACTGGTTAATGACAATTACTGTAAATAATTATAATAGCGATATAAATAAATAGATTTATCACCCGTGATTGAGTTTCATAACAGGGCGAGAGTATTACAATTATGGTATCGCATACACGCATACTGCGCTACTTATGAACGGGTAGTGTAACCCCAAATTTAAAAAACTTTTGATAATAATAGTACAGTCGCTCTTTATCAAGCATCTAGAACTTACAAGTTTAGCATTTCCATTTGCCGTTTTCATCGTTGTTTAAAATCTGTTCTCAACGAGCATAGCATAATTAATCTACGGTTAAGCCTAAGATAGTCATAAATATTGCCCAAGAATGAATAAAATTGAAATATCGTAGTATCAAGTAATTGAAGAGCGACTGAATTATACTGGATTATCAATCTGAATGTCAATGGGTTTAGTATTTCTTCACATCATGGATTTTAATTAATAAAAGCTTTCTTTCCATGAAGACTGCTTTGATTTATATCAAGGACTGTACGTATCATCAATTAGTGTAGCAAAAAAATGAAAGATGATAACACTTACGTAAGTTTGTTATATTCTACAGTTTCTGACATGAAATGCTTTACGGTTGACCGACTTTCTAGAATATATTTCTGGTAAGGATATAATTACGTCACATAAAATTAATTTTTTTTTACATCACTTTATGGCCGTCGCGATGACATCACGTAACACATAGTAAACTATACAATTTTTAAGGCACAAAAATACGTTGCATGTAGTACTCCTGCGATTTCATTATTAAAAACTTTCAAACATAAGGCTAGAGTTTACAGTGCTTTAAATTACTGAAAACTGGAAACTCATGATACGCATTACCAAGGTAGCTGGCAGTTATGTATATGTCATACATATTACCTAAAAATAGTCAATACGTTATATCTGAAATACTGACTGAGCTCTTGGGTGCTACAGCAAATAACTAGAGTACTCTATATGATCAGTTGGCGCTCGATTACTGAATGATGCTTGAAACTAGAAATGTACCGTTGTGCCATCTTTACCGCGTATACTGAAAATATTATTCTTCGCTATTTTCAACGTATCGGTGACTGTGACTTGATGGATTCATGGGCATCCACGACTCATTCATGGCTAATACCATAGACCAACATCGCAGTAATTACTACCAAAGTTAATACTTTATTTAAAGTTTCAGATATCTTAAGACAGGGTACACAGCTGTAGATAAATTATCAATTAATTACTTTTCAGGTGTTTAATTGTATTGTACAGCGGAGGAAATGCAACTGAAATATTTCTTACAAGTAGTAGGTTGTTAAAGTAAACGTATATCCAAAACAGGCGTTCTTTATTTAAAGTCGAGATAAAGTTCTTAAGGTTAAAAGCAACTATTTGACATTAACTATTCCCATTTTCTTTGCTTCTGTTTCATAAATCAGTAATCTCCATAATTTCATAACAAAAACTTCAGCTTCATCGTCGAGAACCTATGGTACAACAGAATTAGGTCATTGGAATACTGCATATATCATTTTGTTCTTCACATCATATTTTACCATTTCTAGATCTTTAACAATGGAAACCGGAGAGTTGTGCTCTTTAACCTGTATCGGTAACATTATGCTAATTAATACTTACAATAACATCAAACTAAGTATCAAAATTTTATTTCTAAATGTCAGTTGAATATTTGTCGTGCAAAACTTCACCTTCTCGCAAATGAAATCAACTAGGGTTGGCTCTTCTTCACCGATGTATTCGGTTATCTTTTTAATTACCCATGTTCTCATTCGCTTCTCTATTAGCGACTAAATTTTGCAAATATCTTAGCTAGATCAACTATGCACGAGAATACAACTTTAAGTTTGCAAATATTTATACCTCATCTACTAAAGACCAGTTTAATGGGTAGTCGAAAAGTTTTTCTTTATCGGACGGAATACTTTCCATAATTGCTTTAATTCTTCTCTTCTTTTCATCAGGAGTCATAACAACTGGTGTAATAGCCTTCATTTCTTCTTCGGTGTACTCGAGAGGTACTAACTTTCGTTTCCGAGATTTCTCGTTTGCAACGCTTTCGTCGTCTTCGTTATTAAATACAGATTCGAACTTCGACTTTTTAGTATTTGGTGCAGGATTTTGTTGTTTCGCAGTTGATAATCCTATTTTCATGTTAAGTCCGAAGCCACTTTTTTTATTTTCTTCAGATGCTGATAGCTGAGCATTCTCATCTTCGTCACGAGGTCTCTTTTTAGTATTATCAACCGGTGCATCTTGAATTTCCTATATTACGTTATGTTAAATCATCTTTCAGTTAAAAATTAATATGAGGGAAAGCTTTCGATTGTTCTATTGCACATAATTGACTACATTAATAAATGCATACCGCGAACTGTACCCTTAAGGTTGTTGTTACCTTAATAATCGGTTGAGATGAACTGGTCGTATCTACGGGAGGCTCTTTTGAAGTGATAGTTTCATTTGTGACCTAACGATTATGTTTTATTTGTAAGTGCTTTAAACAACCATCTTAAAGTGACATTTATTCTATATTTTTCAACGGACTACACAATCGTAATGAAATGGTATTGATTAATTTCTGTATCGTAGAAAATTGATGCTGCCAGCGAATTTTCATTTGTAGCCATTGACAATTGCTACAGTGTATTATCGATACGCGTATGTACGTTGTATACAACTTACCGGCTTTTCATCAGGTTCAGCAGGTGGTGAACAGTTTGCTCGTTTTCGTTCGGATTTTCTTTCTAATTCCTCTAATTCACGTTGTCTATCGCGTTCATCAGAAGCTATTTCCGCTTCTCTGTCGCGTAAGCGACGAGTAAATGCCGATCCCCTAAACATTATACATGGTAGAATAAATATATCATTATCATAATTTTAACAACGATATTTTCATGGTTTCCTAAAAATTACTTATAATAACGGTGATCATCTTCGTCGTCATCGTATTTAGCTAAAAAATCGAGTAAATGCCGAATCTCTCTCTCCTATGTTCAATTTAAAAATAAAAGATTTTACATTAGGTCATCAAAGGTAACCAAATTTAGACTTCATAAGTGGGATTATACAGTAAGTATATAGCATACCGTCTCTTTCTTTAATTTTGAATCGCGTTCAGCACTTTTTTCGTATTCGCGTAATTTTTTTCTTTCTCTGGATTCCCACGATCTGAGTTCCTACAAAATTGTACATCCAAAGATCGATAAGTAATTATCATTCTAAAAGAGGAATGTAAAAAATATTCGCAATCAATAACTTACGCTTTTGTACATTGACTCTCGTTCTCGAAGTTTCCTATCTAATCGTCGCTTTTCTATGATTTTATTTTCATCCATTTCTTGATCAGCGGACGGTTCTCGGCTTCTAATATCACGTTCTATCCTTCTATCGGTTTCTTGTGATACTTCCTTTTCTTTCCGATCACTTTCTTTTTCCTTTTCTTTGTCACTTTTCTTATCCTATTAAGTTGGGATATCATATGCAATAGCGTCATATAAAATCATGGCAATTGGGTTTACACTTTTTAAAGACCATTAAGTGACCTTATATGTTTCTCTAAAAATTCGTATTTCACGGCTAATTAAGTTCTTTTGATCCGCATCCATTTCTAAGTCCTCTAAATTTTCCTGAAATGCAAATGAAAATAAAAAATTATTATCCAACGTTATAGCGACACATGAATTATTATGATCAAATGTCTTCATAGCATACTTCAGAGCGTGCTAACTTAATATTCATCATGGATGAGGGTTTAGGAGACTCTACAATAGCAAAAACATTTATATATCTTACGCCTTTAAAATTTGTAATGATACATTTATAATCATCAATGTTGCTCAGAAGTACCTTTTATGAATTCGTTTTGTAATTTACCAGCTAAAACATTCCAGTTAGCTTTCAAAAACATGTCAATCTCCGCTTTGACAGAGATGTCTTCCTCCTAGTATAGAATATGAAACCGTTAGTATACTGAAAATGTTGTTAAACGGGATGATATTGCATCTGAACCTCCTGATCGGGCGATAGATCAGCTGACTCAATATCCATAACAGTATCAGAATTATTTTCCGCTCTCCTTCTAGCGAGATATTCATCTAGTCGTTTTCTATTTTTTTCGTCTACCTTAATCTGTAAGAAAGTATCAGTTAGGTTCATAAGAAACTGAAAGTCAATTATATCGCGTACACTGGGTTAGAGGAACATAGAAAGCATTACCAGTAATTCTTTCTCGCCAACTTGCAAACCATGCAATAAACGTAATGCTCTTAATGTGGCCTCAGGATCAGCGTATTCACAAAATCCGAAAGCTGTGCAATAAGTAATGATGGTGGATCTGTTAAAATGACCTCGATGCATTGTAGCTAAGGTCAATCTACATACGAAAGATAAAACTTACGTTGTAATTTTCCAGTTGCTCCTTGAATTCTTTTCCAGCTAACTACGGTACCACATTTCTATTTCGCATCAAGATGTATAAAAATCATTAACGGATATTATTCGGAGTCATTAGATCACAGCGACTTTTAATTTCGACAGCAATTGGACATAAAACTATTATTTATGCCATTTCATTCCATTTACTATTATTAAAATCTACATCTATACTACTGTAATATATAAGCCTTAGCCATAGTTTTGATAGTTAATGCAAATGTGACTTTGAAATATATAGCGATAAACGTTACATATGATACATACCATTAGTAACTGCCTAATAAATGTATCAGTCGCTACTTCAGTGATGTTTCCAACAAAGACAGTTGTAGTTTTAGGCTTCTCCGTAGTTTCCTAAGCCAACGTTAATGACATCACTTTTTAGTACGTAAATTAGACTTTACAGTATAGTAAATGCAATACTGTGCAAATATGCAGCAGATATATATATATATAGCGAAATAATCAACAGTAAAAGATCTTTAAAGCAGTATACCTTCAAGGCAGCAGTCAAACACTTACATGCGTTGACATCTATAATGTGGAAAAATTATGCCTTAAAATAGTTACGTAATTTACCTGTTGACGTTGTGTAGCAGGTTTAGTAGCCGGTTGTGCAATAGTTGTAGTCGTAGGTAGCGGGGCTGGTGGCATAGTGGAATTAGCAATCGGTGGTATACTCTACAGAATATGTAAAATGATGTCGAATCGATATAAGTAAACCGTAGAACAATTACTGTTACAAGTGGCCAGCTAATTCTGTTAGTATTTATGGTATTGAACAAAGTATCATCTCTAAATTAATTCTTGGATATCATGTATTCAATCTATCAAGTAATTGTTAAGTTATAAGCAATATTATCAAGATTATTCAAATTGGTAACCAGGAAGCCGATGAAAAGTTACTTACTTGCATCATATGAGGTGGTACTCCGACCCCAGGAGGAACCGGTGGCATAACCGCAGGAGCACCTCGCAATGCAGCTGCTATCAGGTTAATAAAGAGAGGTTGATTTAAAAGTTCGTGTTATTTAGAAAATTTAGGTACTACTGGTTTATTTTAGCAACATTTGGAGTAAGTTCTATAATCGTGTTACTAAGCCAATCATCTCCATTGAATATTATCATAGACTATTTCAGAGTACAGACAGGGCAAATTAGCTATCAATACAGGTGATAATACAGTACATAGTGTCTACTGTAAATATTTCAATCACAAACGCGGAGAAAACTACCAAGAGAACGCTTATAGTTATTATTTGTGCTTTTCTACATTGAAATTATTTCCAGTTATGTTAATTATGAGAACATGTAGAATCTTAACGCAATGAAACGAATTGAGATAGCTGGCTGACAAAGTAGAAAGGGCATAATCGATCCAATGCAGTTTGTCAAGTATGGTAGCAAATAGTTGCGAAATGCCTTCGTACGAATAGTTTTTCTTGACGGTAACGATCTAGCGATCGATTTCAAGATCGTCAATGAGATTATCATTCTCTAGACGCGATCATTGTAACGATAGGAAAATGTTTGATGCTGACATTTTAAAAAGTAAGATTACGAATTGAACTTGAATTGATGCCGATCATGTCTGTGCCAACGACTGGTATAGAGCTTGATTGCAGATTAAGTGGCACAGTAAGTTTTTTTTGATACAAGATAATAGTACGATAGCAGCCAGGAGACTGTTGTACCATGGACTACCAGAAATGACTACGTAATCATTTCCAGTAGTCTATGGTTGTACGTTGCCTGTTTCCATGATGAGCCTTGAAGAATAGAGTTTATTTCCTTGCACTATTCTATCGGAATCGACGTTTTCTGTCTGAAGAGAATGATGACAGTGCTATATGTTGCAGTCGATGGGATGAATTCAAGATAGATGGGATAAAATATGACTTTGGTTGTAGTATTTCACCAGTCGAAGGGAGTTGAGTAACAAACGATGACAACAACAACCCATCATGCAAGTAATTTGTGGAGCAAAGGCATTTACGAAAGAATATTAAGAAATGTATCAAAGTCCAGACTATCTATCTCCAACTACAAACAAGGGTATCCATGCGTACTATCCTATACATCTATCGATCACGGAGTAATTGATTGACAGAGATATTTAATTATGATGGAAGGACATTTATGCGATTACTTTGGCCTTAGCTAACTAGAGTCTACTGTCTGTGTATATCAATCTAGCATAAGAGAGAGAGAGAGAGAGAGTGGAGGTGATACACCTTAACTACCCTATCAGTACATCGAGTTGATACATTTGCCTGTTACTAAGAACCATTTGATGATAGTAAGCCATTGAAAAATAACAATTGCAAATCAAGTTGAACGATTAGGATGGACAACACGACAAGAATTGTCACTGAACTATGCCATCTTGGCTATGTTAACATGAGTGTAATTGAGCAATATGATCGATGACATAGAATAGACGACATCACTAACCATTGGGCGGCATTGGAGGCCTAGCAAACGGATTGAATGTCGGCATCGTCACTGGCATTCTAGCCATTGGTGGTGGTACACCAGCCATGGTGACTGGGGTCGCCGGTACATTGGATGTGGTAGGTGCATGGACTGGCCTGTGTTGAAAATTCGACATTACTTTAACAGAGCGTTCCTTTAACTAGCTTCGTTGCAAGATTGAAATCGGTTTGGAAGACTTGTAGTCTACCATAAGCACCGTTTCAGTTGGATGGCAAGCAGTTTCTTCAATGGCAGTTTGTCCGCGTTTTTATGCAAACTTGTGTGGAACCCGCAGTCACTACTGTAGCCAGTAGGTGCTTGACGGAAGTGGCACACCACGACAGTCACTAGCCTACAGTAGCCAGTAGTGTACGGCGTGTTGTATAGTCGTTGAGCTAGACGACCTTTCCTGCGCTCACTGACTGCGCAGTACCAGTTTCTTTCATAGCGCGTAAGGTCTTCTTTTAATCAGTCTCTCCTACCGTCTGTGCCTAGCGTACTGGTACAGGCAACTGGTACCGCACTGGTACTGGGAACTGGTACCGTATGAGTACCCATTTTATGCAGCTTTTGGACGGTCCTGATTCAATGTAAGGTCTTCTTTTAGTCAGTCTCTCCTACCGTCTGTGCCTAGCGTACTGGTCCAGGCAACTGGTACCGCACTGGTACTGGGAACTGGTACCGTACCAGTACCCATTTTATGCAGCTTTTGGACGGTCCTGATTCAATGTAAGGTCTTCTTTCAGTCAGTCTCTCCTACCGTCTGTGCCTAGCGTACTGGTACTGGCAACTGGTACCGTACCAGTACCCATTTTATGCAGCTTTTGGTCGGTCCTGATTCGATGTAAGCCTGTAAGGTCTTCTTTTAGTCAGTTTCTCCTACCGTCTGTGCCTAGCGTACTGGTACAGGCAACTGGTACCGTACTGGTACTGGGAATTGGTACCGTACCAGTCAGTACTCGCAACTGGCACCGCACCAGTACCCATTTTATGCAGCTTTTGGACGGTCCTGATTCGACCTCTGTTGTTACAGACCGAAACTGACCGGACGGAACGCAACGGTGCATATATATAGTACAGTATATACCTTAGCACCTTACACACTTCCGATAGTGTACCGTACATCGGAAAATGTCCAGTAAAAGCAAACAAAAAATCCCAACAGTGCCGGTCCATTTCACTCTTGGACCTCAACATCGTCTGAAGCGCAGTCGAGTGACTCCACTACACTTCACACGGTAGGCGTCGCTATACATCACTGTTTCTGCCCATAGCGTGTCCTTATTGAGAGCCAACAGCGTACAGTATGGCACGAGGGAGAGCCATGTGCTGTTCAATCAGTCATGCATGTTGCTGGATTGGGGAGTCAAGGGTTTCAATAATAACTCAGCAAGTTCTCTAAAGTGATATATAGCAAACCCTCTTCGACATAGGTAGTAAGAATTAGAATAAGCTTCTAAATCTTCAATCAGTTCACTGTGATATCGTCTTTGAACCATGATTGATACTTGGACTCCCTTTACGTTATCATAAGGCCAAAGGGTAGAAGAAATCACTTCTATTCAGTAGTATCAAAGAATACGCTACAATAGTACCCGATATCAATATCACCAATCTACTGTATTTGTGTCACATACTACTGTACTGTACTGTACTATGAGGGTGATCGGAAAGGTTTTCTCCTTGGCCTATCCATTTTTTTGTATCCTTTCCTTGAATAGATAGAGTTCAGAAAACATAAAAGAAATGCATCGTCTGCGGCTATCTAGAATTAGCTGGGGAAAGTAACGATAAATAAATAAATAAATAAATAGAGAAAGAAAGAAAGAAAATAACCGAACATGATGTCAATGTGTTTTGAGAGGGAGAGCTAGGAAAGGAAAAATTGGCTCAGCGTATGATTACACCTGTCGAAGGTTCGACTTGATCCACCTATTCTATGCCAAAAGCTAGAGATAATCGCATTATTGCATACTGTCTACCGAGACTTTGATCCATGTTGCCTCCTAATTTGTTGAATCGGAGTAAGCTATGGCAACTCGACCATGTAACAGTATTGTATTCGTTTAAAATCAACGCTTACGCCTTATACTCGTTATGCTGACAATTTACTCCAATGTCTGCAATTTGAAACCGATCCGACGCTTTAGCATGATCATTAAACATACCAATTCACTTGATTGTCATGAAGACAAAATGTGAGTGTTACTTACCGCAATGGATATTTGCAAGATTGCCTTGAATTTCTTGTCGAGTATGTTTTAAAGTAGTGATACTATTGCGTGAAATACCAGATCAATTCCCCATCGAACAACTAGACAATCACTTTAGGTTGGTACTATGGAGGCTATGTTTGTAATTATTATACGGGTATTGAAGACGTAGCTTTGCTTGGACGTATTCTAGTTAAAATTGAAGTGAATTATTATTCAGTTTAGCAATACTGAGGGCAGGTCAAGGAGGGTTAATGATAGACAAATACAAATAATCAATTTCAAAGATATGACTAAGCTATCATACGAGTATTTTAAGCCAGTTGTTTATAGTAAGATCCTAAATAGAACAGGCTATCCTCGGATTTTGATTGGAAGACACTAAGGCATACTTTGCCGTACATTATTACTGTCAGTCTACAATACTGCATCCATTTTATGACGTGATCGTATCACTAAATAAACAGTCTAAACGATATGGTTGGTGACTCTGTAAACAGCTTTTCATGCTACGGTAGTCTATCATTAAAGTTTAGCAAAGATAAGTTTACAGAAAGCTTACTGAGCAATGAGCAGCCCAGCCTTGTTGTATGATTCTTGTTGGCAACTGCCTTCAAAAGCCACAGGAACAAACAAATGTTGCGGATATACGGATATTTACACGTGCATATGTTAGTATACACGCATCAAAAGAGATATAGTTTAATAATATCATGATGAAGTTAGTAATACATCAAAATCTATACAATCGGCTAATGAGAGTAATGTATATAAAATACGCATTACATGAAAGACGCATATAAAGCTTTAGTGCACAATTTCGCAATTATAAATAATTTTTTAATACAGCATATCAGTTGATTCTTAATTATGACATATGTTCTATAGATCTTGTGATAAAATTCGCATTTTTCGGACGTTGTTGGTCGATGCGTAAAGTAATGCACGATATTATCCATTCCTTTCTTATTTAAACAATTCGGTATGAGGTAATTCTTAACATTTTGCTATTAATAAAGCTCTAAATAAATGAATCAATAATTACTCTTAAATGGCTTTTACATACTAGACGTATACTAATATCGTTTTAGGTAGACGAAAATTTACAAACGCCAATTTAAAGTTTATAATCAGGATTAATAGTACTATTAAATATATTTCATTGTTAGTTAGAGTCGCATGAATGTTATGATCGGTTGTAATCCTGCCTATCTACAAGTATTTCGTCTGCAAAGTTGGTCCAAAGTATGCATACACATACATACACAATTATCAATGGTAAATTTAAATTATATGACATAAAGGATATGAATTTCGAAATGATTAAAGCAGCTATGCGTTTGGGCGAATGCGCAGTCCTTAAAACAAGCATTTTCTACTACATAGACTACTGTAACTAACTATCAATAAATGCTGTGTTGGATCAAATTTTTCTTACTAATATTTTCATTTAACAACAAACAATGACAAAATTTTGCAATATGGGTGAAATACATAATATCTTTGACTATCAGGCTATAAATAGAAATCGTATCACAATTTTTACGTCGGTATCGTACGTGACAGGTCCTGTAGCATTAATCTAGAGATAACATTCAGAAATGATTCATTTCGCCTATAAAATGTGCAGGAATGTCTTGTAAATTCGTAGCAATAATGTTGTTAATATTCCATGATAAGTTTTGGTGATGTATCTAATATAACTGATATTAAAAATCCTTATAATAAAATCATAATAATATCGATACAGTCATTTACGCGATAAATTGGTAAAGTTGTTTCAATTTTAGGATCGTATTTAGTTAACTTAATTTTGCCGCTGCTAAATCATCATCATAAAACTTCTTCTCCACGTATTTCATTTTAATAAAGTCATGCCTTTCTTGACTACGGATTAAATTAAGTAAAAAGTTATTAGGTTAAAGGGACCATTAATAAATTAATAGCTATAACTCAGCGATTACAAACTTACTCTGTACAGTGATAGTTTATTTTACTGGTGTCAGATTCTTTCAACTTTGCCTCATAAACGGAATTTACTAAACTGTTTCCTCGACTCTCCATAAACTGGTTGCATGTATAAGATCACATTAGAATAAAATCAATTAATTAAAAAATTTCTTATTGCAATAAGTCCTTTCTAAATTTCAGACAATTTAACTAAAAAGAAAAAAATTTATTTCCTTGTTTTTAACAGGTACATTAAAGGATTACTTACCTCAACTGTCCGTGAATCCCATCTGTCGAGAGTGACAGATCTTACTTTTGAAATATGTACCCCTAAGCTTCTATGTACTCCGGAACATTCAATACATAATACAATACCAAGGTTAATGCTCGCCCAATCCACACCTACACCGTTTTTAAACAAAAATGATTCCAGCAAACGGCTATTACCCACGTGTAATCAGTAAATAATCACTTACGTTTTGTACCACAATCTGCACAAACGTTGTTACCAGTAACTGCCTTTAGTCTGGCAACAACGTTCTGCACTGTCTGAGTTTTCGAGGATTCTTCGTCTGATGCATCAGGGCTAGTAATACCTTCTACAGTCATCTACCAATTTGAATGCAACAAAATAAAATGGACTATTACTATAAATAACAGTGGATATGCAGTATACTAACATTGCAGTGAGAACAGCAATGTGTTGTATACTTGCACAACTTACATAATTTTCGTGTGACATTCTTAAAGCTGAGGCAACACACTCCTATATTACGAAAGAACGGGGAGACAGCAATTTAAATTTAATAATCGAAAAAATGGTATTTGTTTGATACCTATTATTCTAAACAATTTAGATAAATTTATACCGAAATAGCAAATATCCAGTGATTCATGTCATCTTCGTCGGTAGCTTGTAATACGTACTCCTTGTTAGGTGAAATTAACTGCGTAATGAAAGTGAAGTAAAAGGAATTCAATTGGATAAATAAATGAAATAATCGACAGCAAGTAACTACCTTCACGACAAAATTTGCAATGCTAGTAACAGCGGATGAAAGACAAACCTTAAAGCAAAAGTTACGATCAACTTCAGGAAACGTACAAGTTTTCACTGTACACAGTAACAGGTTTTCTATTTCAGCTGGTTTATCTTTATCCAAAAAATGTGCAAGTAAAAGGCCAGTTTTTCTATCTACTATGAAATACTATAATAAAATGACATTATGAAGCCTTGCTAACTACAGAAATTAGTTCTAGTCTTTCATTTATTTACTCGAATTGAGTACATTTTTTATCATTCAACACAAACAATAATGATCAATTATTACATACAAGTAGTGGCCATCGACTCCTGCCGAAAGATTTATGTTTTAAGCGTAGATATCCTTTTTTTAGTATTCCATCGCTGCTTATGAAAATACTTGAAACGCTTTGCTTTGATTCAGAGCTGCGAGCTGAATTATCGCTCGTGGCACTTTTACTGCCATCAACTAGCGCTAAAGTGTTATCAACATGATCAACACCTGCGTGAAAAGTAACAATATCTGTAAATGTAAACATAGATGCAGTTATAACTTAATGACAAGAGCAGTCATAAATTAAGTTGGATTTAACTCGTTTAACGTATAAGTCAAATACTATATATGTTATACTTGTATATTTGTGGAATAACATTATATTATATTAAGTACCGCGGCCAGGGCTAACATCTTCATCGAAGACCTCATCTTTTTCAGATGCAGGATGAGTTAAGGAAATACTGCTTTTATCGTCGCTAATTACATTTTCATCATCGGTATTATGAAGCCCTGTCTCATTTCCGCGATCATCCCAATGTTCAGTAGTAAAAATTTCGGCTGAGATATATGGACTATCATCTGCTAAACTTCCACTGTTGAAAACGTTATCTATCAAACTTTCATCACTATTATTACGGGTTAGCTTCCCTGATCTGGCGGAATTGCTAGAAATCGTACTTCGAGCTTTTTCCTTTAATTAATTATAAATAAGAATGGATTTAGCAGATAACTCTGATGTAGTATGATAGCACATTAAAGCTCAATCCAATACGCAATTATTCTACAATGCCTTACCTTTGTTTTTCTAACATCTCTAGTACCTTGAAGCATAATAACGAAATAAACAAGTAAATATTAGCTGACCAATAAAATAAGAGTAAATTCATTATGCAAAACATTTTACCTGGACTACTAGAAAATAGATCGTTAATTCTTCCTAAAATGTGTCCCGATTTCGATATTGCAGCACTTGATTCAATCAATTTTAGTCGAAGCAATATTAATATTAGAAATAATAACGTTTGACTTTGATAGCTACATAAAAACTATAATAGATTTTTTTGACAGCTGTACTTCAATCAATGTTACATCATGAATTGATTCTGAAACAATATTTGCTTTAGGGTACCTTAGCATTCCGGATGATGTAGAAGGCCGAGTTGATTTACTATCATTTGACGACGACGATATATTTTTAACCATTTGGTCATATATTACGGAATCTGCTTTCATTGCAGTCTATATGAATAAGAAGTGAACATGTATGTACTATAAATGTATAGCCATTAGGAACAGCATCGCTTGAGGTATGAATAATCTTCAATATACTTGTTTAATGCAAGTAGTATGCGTAAAAATCGGCTCACCTCTAAATCTTTATTTACGTCTTGCAATTCATTAAATAAGGTATTCATATATGGCTCAAGATCTTTCATTAACTATGGCGTAGTCAATACAATAGTTAAAGTGATAGCGATATCATCGTTGAGCAGATAAATATGCTTGCAATTAAGAATATTTCGTATCATCTTACTTGATAGGAAAAGTTATAGAACGAAAACTGTGATAACATCAGTTCCAATATTCTTTGTAATAAATTAATCTGAAATACATATTAATTTGTCGGTTTACGTATGCCTATGGGGTATACAAATTTGGTGATAGATTTTTCAATTTTACCTTTTTAAATGAATGGATTTCACGTAGCATTTTGATATATTGTAATAAGGCAGTCTGGTATGCATGACGAGCAGAATACGTTGCACAAGAGAGCTTTTCCAAGACTGACGGCTACATTGTACAGAATAATGTTAGTGTAATTAGATCTGACGTATTAATGGCTAATTAACAATAAAATTACAACTAACAACATATTGACTTCAAAATCATACCAAAATAAAACTATATTAGAATGAAAGACTATTAATTCCAAGATGATTGCTGTAGTTGTAATATGTATGTTACTTAAAAAGCGGCTTACTTCAGGTAAATTGCTGACGTGACGACACTGAGCATATTTATCCCAAATGATATGATACGCATCTTTTGCTTTGGTTACTTCATTTTTTTGGGCCTAAGTCGAAAAAAGTACAGCTTTATTAATTTCGATCACATTTGGAGGACAAGTGTAACATTAGCTATTTTAATCAGTAGTAAGTAGTATGATAATGCTGTCAAAGTTAATTACTTTGACAATGATAAAAAGCGAGGTAATTGCAAAAAATTTATAAATATACAGTATAATGTAGAGGGTTAATTGAATGGGTAATTTAATTGATAGACTATACTGATGATAAATTTAGGTATGCTTTCCATACACATTTTAAACTGAGTTTCCTGAAAGTACGTAAGCCTGATGATGTAAGATTATAAGTAGGGTATAACAGTAATTGTATAAGCCGCTTTATTTTAAGTTTCGTAGCATATCCGAAAAGTTTAATCACACAATTTAATTTAATGCTGTATAATTAACTTACCAGAATTTTATGAAACTCTTTTGATAAATTACGAACAGGTTCACAGCACAGCATTTCAGTTTGTGATAGTAGCATATCACGATAGCATTCGATCCGTTGAAGAACATCTGCAAACTATTAATTTAAAATAGACAACATTGATACGCTGTATTAAAAATCAAGCTTAGTAGTGAGCGATGATCATATATAGTATCTTAATAGTCAGTGGACAAAACAGTTCCTCTACTCCATGCCTTACAAATCGCCTGATTGATCAACAATTAGCAAGAAGAGAAATAATCGTATATAAGATGTAAGGTAACTAGACATCTCAGTTGTCACTGTACCGATTGTGTTTAATATTAAATTAGATTTTACATCTAGAATGTCACATCAATATCTCGCAGATAATATTACTTGGACATCACTTAGGATATAGGCTATGATTAGTAATATCGTGGGGTGTCCGAATTTCAATTAGTGTTGACATGAGTAAATCAATCAAGAACAGCATCCAAGATTCTTTTCACTACTGCTGATAAGCAGGTAGTGAAGACAATTTAAAAAAACAATTGGAATACTGGAACATTTTTGTGCACATGATAACCCTAACTCGTTATTATTAATATTTATAGTAGATTAACAAGAATGAATGAATTGATTTTATCGACCTCTGTCTTTGTGTTTGCATTTCTATTTGATGATGGGCAATTATAATTAAAGAAACGCACTAGAATGAAACGGACTATTACACTTTGTGCCAGTAAATTTCTTTCATTTTAAATCAATACAATGTAATTCACGGTCAAGTTTTACAAAAGAGAATCTTCTGCAGTCACTATTCAGTGCTAATATCAATTTCATGGTTATGCTTTAATATTGCAACATTATAGAATGAATTGATTAAATATTATTTCAATTTTAATTTTTAATGAGTTTACAGATTGATGTCATGAGTAGAAAAATTCATCAGTAGTGGATAAGTAAGTCATACAAGCGTATGCCATTCACATCCACTATTCCTCGTTGTGGACTGAATACATATGATAAATTTGATGGGTTGGGATACTGATAAAATTAATGGTGTAATCTGCTATCTACAGCGTTAATAACTTTAATCACGCTAGCGATAAACTGATAATGGCTGTTGATTTTTAAGCAATTGTCCTAGTTTTGATACCAGAAAAGATGAATTTCAATTGCATTTTACTATACAATTCAGTCTACTGTAGATCGAATGGAACAGTACGCGTATAAGGACTTTAGTCTATCAACTTCCATTTGGCAAGAGAGAAATAAAAAGAATTAATGATGACTGTAATCTATATCAGCAGTTACTGTAGTTCAATTCATTCTCATAATATCATGACAGATATTTATCAATCATGAGTAGAGGAAAGCTACGATGAATGTGTTATCGAAAACTATATTGTTGATATACTTTCCACTATCATCCCTAACTATACTGTAGTATTGTCAATATTGAAGATAACTTTCATTCTGTAAATTGTATCGGCCTCATGGTAAAATAGACGAAGAAATCGATTAAGCCAAATTTACATGCAAATTCTGTGTGCATATACAGTACATTGAAAATTGTCCATTAATCCATGTTGATATAGTAGATGAGTGTTGACGTACAGTATCGATTATGATAGTCCAGTTAGAGTAATAAAAAAAAATAGTTTTAAACGAGTAACGATATATAGGTCAAATAGATCAGAGATTCTATTTAAGGTAATAAGATGAAAACCCAATTAGGATGGACAATCCATTTAGCGCTTGTTCTGGCTACTACTGTGACTACAGGCAAATTGTATTGGCATAATCATGCCAGCCAGCATGATGTTATCCTTGGTATCGAAGAAATGACTTGCTAATATACGACAGATCGTAGAGATACTTACTTTGTTTAATGGATCGTTAAATAAATCTTCTTCCGGATAGACTTTGACGGATTGACTTAAAACGTTGCTAAATTCCATAGCCGATGAGCTGTGCTTGACTCCAGTATCATATAATTTCTTGGATGTATCGACAACTTTGTTTAAGACATTGCAAATCTGTGAGATTGAACAACATCAAAATTAGGTCAATATGGATTCAGGCAGAAAATGGAGATGGCGGATAATTTGCTAATATAAACGACATATTATTTTCACATTTCAAGTAAATAAATACGTATGGGAGCAAACACAATCACGTAGCATACCGCCACCATTGCCATACTGCCGATTGACGTGAAATACCCTACCGTGTCAAGCACTACTCATGAAGTTTATAAGTCAGTATGGCAACAACAAATAACAACTGAATGGAATCATCGATGTTTTAGGCCAGGTCCAAGACGGACAGTATTTCATTGAGAGCAAACTTTTTACCATCGATCAGAGTCTTCCTAGTTAGTTGGAATTCATTTTTTTCTTCTACCACTAAGTTTCCTTGAATAATTTAGTAGGCACTAGTTAACTTTTGTATAGAATAAATTGAATTTTACATCGAATTGGAAGTATCCATTGGTTAACTATTTGTTTCCATCGTTTCTTTCGTATTCGAGTGGGTCGAGAAACATCTTGTAATGATTGAAAAAATGGGGAAAATACAGTACGGTCGACTAGGGGTAACGGACGAAGGGTAAAATTGGACATACGTAAAATAAGAAAGGGATGGAAAATGTAGTATTTGTGTAGAACAAGTTGATTGGTATCGAGTGGAATGCATTTTGTTGGTTACTACTGTACAAATCATCATTTCTATCGCTTGCTATAGAAGCTGATTAGAATGGATCCATCCTAACCAACGACGATATCCTATTGAAAAATTTCAAACTATACCAAGATAGATGATTTTGATCAACAGTACTACAGTATATTGGCTACATAATGAGAAAAGAGAGGGAAAATGATTTTCTGCAAGATGTTTCATTTCACGTAGGAATTTAAAATATCCTTTCTATCATTCTGTTCGATCCATCCAATTGGGAGTAGATCGATCAACAGTTTGTGATGATGTGATTGAGAAATAGGAAGATAGAGTACAAGGCGTTGGACTAAGATGATCATTGTATAATCTAATCGATATAACTTGAAGTTGAATAGCAAACAAGAAATTAAAAATGAACAGGTCGTTTAAAGTAGTAGAGATGGTTTACTCGACAAACAGGGCCGAAGTTGGTCGTGGATAGCATGGAGGCATGGTAGCCTCCATTGAATGGAATGAACTATCGTAGAGATGGTTTACCCGACAAACAGGGCCGATATTGGTTGTGGATAGCATGGAGGAATGGTAGCCTCCATTGAATGGAACGAACTATCGTAGAGATGGTTTACTAGACAAGCAGACGATCGATGCTGGTAGTGGATTGCATGGTGAAATTGTGTCTTCCATTGGGTTGCTACAGTATCCATTGGATACATTTGTTGAAGTGTACGACAGGCGTAGAACTTCAGGAGACACTACCATCCCATGGCAATAATCCCTCATCAAGTTGTCGAGACAGCAGGAGCCTACACTCTAGCCATACCCGATCGTTGTGATCAGCGATGGGAAAAATATCGCGCTACTGTCCACCACCACTCTATCGACTCCTCCTAAGACAAAATGTATTGTCTACGACAACAAATTGGATGCAATTATGCTAGCAATACCTCTTCATTTTTGCTGGCCCAGTATTGTAACGAATGATGACACTCAGGACTATCATCTTCAGCGTATTCCAGTAAGGGTAATTTGCTGGCAGACGCCATTCTAATTGGAGGCGATTGTCGAGATGAGGATGATGATGGAAAAGGCCTATCGATTCATCAATCTTTTGCCTTTCCTATTGCATCAATTTAATACTATTGCTGGTTGGTAAAGCAGTCGACAAATGAGCAAGCAGTTGGGACAATCTCATCACCAGCCTCGGAGTCGACTCAGATAGAACGCGTGTTTTGGTCACTGAAGGTCTCCAGAACACTGTGCGCTGTACAGTGTACAGTATAGCAGTGTATGGGACATTCATACTTTTCGGATGGTCTGTCAGTCTTCTCTGTCAGTCTAACGCGGTGGTCGAGTAACAGTACTGTATTTTACAGTGCACAGTACAGCACAGACTGAGTACAATGTACAGTAGTAGTCGACTGTACTGTAAAGGTATTTTCCACAACTTGCCCGACTTGGCATCTGTTCCTGTCGAGCTCTTCATCTTTCTCGATCTGTTGCAAGACTACTGTACTTATAAAAAGGAAAAAACAAAAATACGGTAGTGGTCTAAAATCATCTCACTCATCTGTGCGAATTTTGAGCCAAAGATGAGTATGAAAGTGCTGGATGATGCTATACTCTGCACCTGTCGATACAATGCCGTCTCGATAAGAGACGACATCACCCATGGCGATCGCGATGATTCTGTTACTCAGGTGCAGTGACATCATTTCTGCTTGCAATTTTCACTATCTGTGATACTCACTGTTTTCAACCGGCCGATGGTAATACTGTACCATTGAGTCATTGAGTTGTCTATGGTGGCCGAGAATCGCTAGCAATAATAATGTCACCCATAATTGCCGACACTTAATTAATGACTACACCCTGAATACCACACAATAGTTTTACTTTACTGCTACAGTGGTAGAGCAATGTCAATAAATGAACATATGTAGGTAGCATGGACTACAACTGTCGACAACTGTACGTAGGAAGAAACCCAAGGACACGGACTCTAATCCATGAACTGTTCCAGTACAAGAACATTACCAAATTAGTATAGTAGTATCAATGAATTCATGATAGTCCTGAGTTGCCCAGTAATCAATCTAATCATACACTTGGTCAAAATAGGTGTGTGTGTGTGTGTGTGTGATACTCTACTCTACTCGATGTTAACATGATTTTAGGATGGCGATGATTTTGCAGCAAGAATACCTAGACAGAGCGATATTGGCCATCCTATTTTCGCCTAGGTGACATTATCGCGTTAGGGCGTGGTCTTGTACAGGCTCTCTTTGTTCCATTTGTCTTCTATTGTTCGTGATTCATCGGCCATATATAAACCAGTCTGAAGGAGTGTGAGTATGGTGTATCATATAGCACTAAATGTGAATATCGTATAATATAGAACGGGACGAGTGGGAATGAACAAGCCTAAATATCGTTCTCCATCCTGGACAATGGCTGAAGCAAGACCTACTGCGCATGCCATTGCGTCATGAACTTGTAATGCCATCCATCAAAATAAACATTTTTTTCTCCATAGTCAACAAAAAAGAAATTGCAGCCCAACGAGTCTATAGTATCACATCAGCTTCTACTCTTGCAAGTGATCCAAACAAGCTCTGAAATTATCCAACACTTGCTAATTCCACTGCTTTCACGGGTATCAATAATAATATTATACGTCTCTACAAGTTCGAATTAAGAGAGAGAGAGGGGGTGAGACAATGTCGTCTTGTATTATTCAAGACACCAATGGCCAAATGAAGGAAAAGATTGAAATGGATAAAGATGATCATAAAGGTAGGCGAAAAGGTGTTAACATGAAGAGCTTACCGTCTTGTAATAAAAATTATCATAGAGCATAGTGCAATCCTTTTCCGAGTGAAATTTCTCCATCCTATCCGTTTCACTAGATATCACCGATTCTCTTTTTTTCTGAGATCATTTTTTTCTCAATCGCTTGCATCTTACTTATCCATCCAATCATTAATCTTTTTCATCATTCGCTGATTTTCTTCAAAATAACGTAAATAATGTTAAAAGATAACATTGCCAAGACGAAAGAGTGAGTGCTTTTCTTGTTTTCATATCCATAGATTCAATCTAAAATTGTTCAATGAATAGCAAAATGATTGTTGCTTTGCGACACTGCCGACTAAGCTAGGTTGTTTAGGGTTTTATAAACTAACATTATCTTATCTTTCTATGACAACTTTATCATTCAATCGAGCTAGACCGATTTTCTTACCTCAATAAATAGTGTTCAATACAGTAGCAGGCTAAACCACTCTCTTTTCGTCGGCTAATCATGGACTTGTATTATACAATCGATCAGACATGTTATTTCAACACTTGACGTATGTTGATTACTGCAGTGTAAAACATCTCTTCAGTGCATCACAAATTTTCTACATTTTGGTTATCCTATCAGATAACAGCAAGTGCAATATACCGTAATTTGCAGTAATAGATAGCTTATAACAAGAATAAAACACAGCAACAACATGTACACTTTACTGCTGCATCGCTGTATCTACGTTGGTATACAGTAGATCAAATCAGCAATTTGCAATAGTATCGAGAAAATACGTATTCCATCAAAGCAGACGCTATCACTTTTGACCTTCCATATGATAATAGATTGACAAAAATGGTTCGAGTTTTGGCATGATTATACCCTAGCTATTATTAGTCAGCACATTTCATGATGATACTGTAGTATCTCATCGAGTTATTAATTGCATGTCTGTATCACAATTCATACTTTGTTGGATTTGTAATAAAAGTCCAGTCATATCAAGTTGCTTCAGGTGGGTTTATTTTGGTTTTTTTTCATATACTACTTCGTAGTTATCCTACAGTAACTGTAGCTAAAAAAGCATATCATACCGTTATAATCATCGTGAGGAAATGTTACAATGTTGGGTGATTGTCAGTATTATCCGTAAAAATGTTTCGTTGTTAGACGGAAGAAGAGAGACTCTATTATTAAAAAGGTTATGAAACAGCAATTCCAATTCCTATTATAGATCATAATGAAATGGTGACTAACTACTAAACAATATATTGTCAATAACTCAAAAGCAGCGGTATTTACAAATCAGGGTCGTTATAGTTTATGTACAACGAAGAAAAAAGAAAATATGAAAGAAATTATATTTGTACAATATCCTATTGCAGTATATATACTGTATATATATTTTCTCTTATCTTGGCATACATTAAAAATGTTAATATAATTATCCAGTATTGTCTTGAGCTCATCAATGTACTAAGAATTTATTTATACTAACTTGGGATTTTTTAGAATCTAATCATGTAAAGGAAGATCTTAATATCCTCTGTCAAGCGGATCCTGTTTCAAATACAATAAATAGTTTTCTCTTGCTTGATGGTTCGGAAGAATTACAGGTAAAAAGAATAATTTACTTATTCGAGCTTACATTAGCGCACATGATTTCAGACATACAGTATTTGATTTAGTATTCATCAATACATCGAGACCAAAGCAATAGCAACGCACGATAAACACACGCAAATAGAATAATCGTATACCTGTGGTACCGTAGTATATTTGTAGTTACTAACATGTTATGCAATAATGAATGATCAGTACAGTAATTCATTAACCTCAAGGAGCCCTACTTTATCATCCTTAACCTTAACATGGCTACAATACAGAATATGAAATCAGACTTACCTCGATTGCTGACCTTGCTCAAATCTGCTAAATGGTGATATCATTGTCACCGTTATGGCAGATGGAATTTGATGAACTAATAAATACTCTAAGTTATAGAAAAATCGCTGAAATCACTTCAAAACAAGATACTGTTTCTATTCTAATCTGTTCATTCATATTCAGGTGCCTAATGATAAAGAATTTTTAGATAAACTCAGTTGTTACGATAACTGTAATGTCAAGGTTGTATCTATCATTGGTAATACTGGTGATGGCAAATCTTACACCTTGAATCAAACATTTTTTGATGGTCAACAAGTCTTTGCAACATCTGCAGATCAAGATAGCTGTACTATTGGTGTATGGGCAGCACTTTGTCGACCACTGCGTACTATCATACTCGATACTGAAGGGATGTTAGGTTGTAAAAGTGATGAAAATCAACGAATGAGATTATTAATGAAAGGTACAAGAACGATGTCTTCATCAATTAATCGCAGTGTATTTTAATCCATTTTTTCCTATAGTAGTTCTACATATTAGGTAGCTGCAGCAATAAGGTTGTAGAATAGAAACCATGGTCTACTCTATGCCATAATTTCAGTTTATAAAAATCTTGTCTAACGATACTTAAGGACATCTTAATATATTTGTTGATAGCGAATGCTTACTGTATTATACTATATGTTTATATTTTATTTATAGTTCTAGCGATATCCGATGTCGTTATTTATCGCACACGATCACATCGATTACATCGAGATATGTACAAATTTATCGGTCATGCATCAAAAAGTTACTTAAGATATTTTGCTTCCGAGTTGGAGCAAATTACCAATCGTTGCCATTTGAAAGGTTCTGTGTCTACACTTGGGCCTGCAGTGATTATTTTCCATGATACTCGTAACACTGACTTATTGGGATATGGTAAATATCATTCAATAAACTGACTATAGCTAAATCTGCGGAGATATTACGCTCATAGTTTGCATAAGATAGACAACCATTTTTAAAATAGTTAACAAGTAAAGTAGTCGCTGAATTTCACTTTCTCTGTTGATCGCTAATGTTATGATACTTCCCAAAGGAAATTCCAAGACAGCTAATGAAAAATTACGAGAGGCTTTTTTGGATGTGGGTTGTATGCCACAAGCATTTAGCAATATCGAATACGTTGGTAGTAAATGCGCTGGTCCTGAAGATAATCCAGATTTTTTAAAGTTGCGCAATGCTATTCAGAACCATCTAGAAAATAATTCGATACGCTCTCCAAGATGTGGCCAAGTTATATACAAAACTCTAAAGGTAATGATCGTATTAATCTACATTAAAGGCGTATTAATATCTAATTTTATAGTAGTGAAAGTTTGATGGCATGATACAATTATCACTGATACTTTTATGTTTGATTGAATTATGTTTGGTTAGCAATTTACGATGAGAAAGAATTTAAATCAATTTAATTGTATTCAATCTCCTAATTTAATAAATTTTTAATATTAAATATCGTATATTTAGTTAGATGAGGTTAGGGATATCTATCGTGTCTAACCGAAATATATCTGTTTTTAAATGTAGGCTCTCAATGAAAAATTTGGTGGAGAAATTGAGTATACCGTCCCAGATACATTTCCTGACGCATATTTTACTTGTAATAGTACGTGCTTATCTTGCGGGTAAGAAACGGTGCTATTATACGTATTTGCGAACAAATTAGTGAAAATTAATTCTAAATGAATACCATTGCCATCAATGTGATTTAGCATCATTACTTCGTATTTATAGCTAAATGCTTATATTAAATGAATGCTATTATCGTAAATGTGATTCAGCGTCATTACTTCCTGTAGCACTTATTATACCGTACTTGCTATTGCTAATATGCAACACATCGATATCTGTATTCTTCCTTTGGATTAATATAACGTTTTCAATTCGCTTCTATAAGCTAATATTCAACCATAATGTATTTAGTACACGATGTGATATGACCATGAATCATATCAAGGACGATATACCGCACTCTTCCTCAAATAAACACTGCAAGTTTCAACATCAATTCATGAATAAAGTTTATTTATGTCTGGTAAGTGAAATGAATTCTTAAATAGTAGAATCCTGAAAATAAATTTATACTGCGAATTTGAAAGGTTTGCCATGAACGTGGTGAAGATATGATCGTGGAACCGAAATTAATTGAGTCAGCAGAATCAAAATGGCTCGGATACGCACAGTATCTATGGTCAGGGTTAGTGTGCATCATTTCGTACTGTTCGTTATGTGTGTTCTCAAATTGTGCTTATTAGAACAAAATGGAATATACAAAGTAGCTTTATTGCTTATACAAATAGTACCCTAACTTTATGTTTAATGGCATATCATTCATAGGTCGTAGATTAAGACTGATTATGACAACCTAGTCAATGAAATTATTTATTATATTATATCGGCTTAGGTATATTCTGGAATGTCCAAATTGCGGTATTATTTATCGTAGCCGTCAGTACTGGTACGGAAATAAAGCCCCAGCAGAAGAAGCCAAAGTGATAAGAACTGAAATTCGACATGTTTGGCCTGGTGTAAGCAAACCTTTAAATCTTTATTTGAAACTATTTCCCCATGCAATATAGTAACTGTACGGTAGATACAAATAAAGGATTTACTTTAATTCTTAGTTGCTTGCATAGCTCACTTACTGATTAACTAACTTATACTCCACTCTTATCGTTACTCAGTCAGAAATTAGCAAAGCAGATTACGGTAACACTGCTCGGAGACTATTAGACAGTTTATCAAATATTGCTGACTCAGTTCGAGAAGCTAGCGCTAAGCCTAAGAAAATAGTTTCGGATTGGGTAGCAGATTCAATCGCACCTTCATACTGGGTTCCAAATTCTGAAATAAACGTAAGCAATTGTATAGAGATATATTTCAGAGCGTAGAAATTAGCTGCTTAACTCTAAATCTTAACTTTTAATATAGTGTTGTAAGGCTTGCCAATGTAGTATCTCTGGCGATAATAAAATCCATCATTGTCGATGTTGCGGTGAAGGATTTTGCGATGATTGTTCAGCAAATGAAATGCCCGTACCATGGCGTGGATGGGGCCAAATACCAGTTAGAGTTTGCCAGTCCTGCTTTAGCTCTTATAAAGATTTAAATCATTCGATATCTAAAAAAAATGATGAAACTCAATCTATCCCCCGCAATGATACAGTTGTAAATGGCAAGCATGATAAAAGCAAGGGATTGACAGCGCGCAAAGTTGGCGAAGGTGTTGCATCAGTTATAGGAGCTATTACGAATGCCATGGAATATCCGCGTGGCTATGTTGTAGATATTGTTCGACCTGAATATTGGGTACCTGACCAAGATATTCGTCAATGTAATCAATGTCAAATCATATTTGCTTCCAATATGACGAAACATCACTGTAGAAAATGTGGTCATGGCTTCTGTGATACTTGTACAAAAACTAAATTGTCAGTTCCATCGCGTGGTTGGGAATATCCAGTTCGTGTCTGTGATAACTGTGCAAAAATTTTACAATCTGAAAATGTTTAATTTGCAATGACATATATCTCTTGGTAAATTTTATATAATAGCAAAAGAATGTCTTTTAGCTTAGTTATGTTGTACTATAAACTCTACTGTGTAAAATAATGTAAGAAAAAAAAACATCTGTATCTATCTATCTACAAATTCTACATTAAAAAAGATTTGTATCGGCAGTAATATCATAATACACTTAAACCAATTTCCAAGACCTTGTAGTATCTGTCATGAGATCTTATCAACCTAAACATCCTTAAATTATTATACAGTAAGAAATGTTATTGATATCTTATTATTGCTTTCCACGCATATAAAATAGCGCTGAATCTATTATGGGCTAACAGCGGGGATATTACCTTCATTTTCCAATGCTGCCATGTATGATCTCGATTAATGAATTGTTACTATGGTTTCTTATATTGTACCTACTCGTATACAGTAACCTTGACTGGAGTTGATTACAATTGATATAATAGTAAACATGAACTAGTACTAAAGTGCTGTCATTGTGATTCTATTTCTGTTAAAAGGACTATCTTGTTATAATTTAAAGGCTATGGTTAGTAGGAAATATCTCTTGAGTGTAAATTACGAATTTATTTATTGTATGCAGTATTTATGCTGACGGTGTGGAGTTATATTGCGTCACGTTGTCAATAAATGACTATTTACCTGATTTATCGATCTATAAGCTACAATATAAAAAACAGTAAACACACATGTTTATGACATTTATATAATTACTATTAAATTCTTAATCAAAGTGTCATAATTGCTATATGGACGATTTCTAAAGTTATTAAATCTGCTAAAAATCTCTGTCGATGGATACATGGGTTAATGAATACGGTAATTTTCATTTAATAAGGTATGCTATACTGTGTCATAGTATTACTTTCATTTGTAATCTATCAAATATCTTTCAAAGCGATGTCAAAAGCAACCCCTATTTAGCTTTATATGAGGTCACTGATACTATAAAGATTTATTGATGTTAGTCCAATAGATGTGTGTGCGGATCACATTGTCTCATATCAAGAATTGCGGACATCTTAAGTGATAGTATGGAATACCGTTAACAAATTTGCTACAGGCTTCCGTTTTATTAAATATTCTGAATAGTAACGCTTTCGGTTTGTCAGGCTATTATTATAATATTAATCGTCCATCTTAAGAATTTCATAGATATTGAAAAGTCAAGTTAGCCTTTATAAAATTGTGTAATATGAATCATCACATTCTACCGATGCTTATCAAAAACAATATTATTAATAATATAGCAATTATGTATGAAAATCTTATGTATTATGCACATCAATCAACTAATTACCGAAAAAAACGAGTTTTGATTCCATATTGGAAGTATAATATGATTAAACTAAAATATAGTATACGACAACTTAAGTGTACTTAAATATTGTAGTACTGTATGCTGGCTGATGTACATACGAGTAAAAGCTTTCTTGTATTAGATTTCACAATCGCGCTCCGTGTTTGCAAGATTAGGCATTATATCACGGATATAAATTATCTCCTGCATTTATGCGTTTTGTTGACATAAGAAGTAGTAAAATATAGTAGCTACAATTTATTTCTTAAAACGATCAACAGATTAAAATTATATAACGGATTTGATATTAGTAATATATTATTACAGTTACTTACAAGAATAATAAATACTTTTTCTTTCCTACATCTAAAATGATGTAATAATCGTCATAATAATAACTTGCAAGATCTCAACGTGGACACATTCTCAGTTAGACAACTAGACATCATTAAAATTGGTAAACCGTTGTCTCTGTCTCTCGAGTGAGAGTAGCAAATTAAGTGAGGTTCCAGTGGTATACATTTGTCAGGCAAAAAGCTATACAACTCTTCTCCATTATTTAGATTCCATCCACGAACTGCAAAGTCTTTTCCTACTGCTCATTTTTATACACAGACACAGTACGGTCAGTGACAAAATCCTAATTCATACCAAACACCTTTGCACGCTAATTAATAGTTATCCAATTACCTGAAGAGACCACACTTTCAGTGTTATCTAAATCAAACGTTTGATTCATGAAATACGTATCACACCCATGTGACATTGCTATTACGCAACTACGTGTTCTCATATCCCATAACTTGATCTAAATAGGAAGAAGTCAGAGATATTGTTTTAACATCAAGGAGTATGCAAATGATCTAATAATGCTACAAAAGTAGATAGGTCACTAACTTGCCCATCGACGGACGATGATAATACATAATTGTTATCATTCAGAAGTTTAATTTTAGATACAGATGATTCATGTTTAACGTGTGACACAACAACGTTTGCTTGCCGAAGGTCTGAAATTTGTACGACGCCACCGCGGGTACCGTTGTAAATTATGGGATCCTATTGAGATCAGAGTTGAAATGTAACATTACAATAAATAGTATATTAATGAACATGCTTCATGTCATGGTCATGATAACCCGATGGAATTTCTAATGACCAAAAGCTTAAAGACTTGATTACCAACATCAAATAGGTAATACATATCATATAGTATTATAATAGCAATTTAGCAATTGCTATGATAGTATACCGACATCAATTCAATATTTGCTACCTGCATTGAAAGTGCTTGTGAAAATACATCACTTTCGTTAAATATCGGAATGGAAATTTTTTTATTACTTTCAATATTTAACATCATAGCCTCTCCAGAAGCTCCTAATAAAGACGAGCAGTGATAAAATATCGAGTTCCATTAGATAAGCTTTCCATGTAGCAAACTTAAATAGCGTATTCAATCAAGTGTAATATTTAATAAATGATCCTACCAACGCTGATAAAATCACAGAATCGGAAATGAGGACAGGCTGAGCAGCACCAAATGGAGCGTTTAGCAAACTGATATATCACATCAGCTATTGTGACGAAGATTTAAAAATACTGTGTTAGTTAAACAAGTTAAGACTTAATTTAAGCAATCTACTGTCAATGTTGCTACTATCGGTAGTATTGGTGGTATCACTAGGAATGCAATAAATATTGCAGCAGCAGAAATGATATTTATGCAGTAGAGTTTGCGTCGTAATTGTACATATTACTCACCGTGAATATCGTTAAAGTTATGTAGCCGAATACTACCAGTACAACTTGCATTACCTAAGTGAGATGCACTAAATATAATAGGAAGAATGTTGAGGAGAATATTTAAGTATCTCTTTCTCTAATAGTGTTCTGCAACTAAGGAAGTAGTTATAAAATGTAATAATAGTTTTTGGATACACTATGTCATATATGGAGCCAATTTTACTATCTTTACGTATCCAATCAACATGAGTCATTCTCGATAACGATGAGGACACTTCAAAACACTCAAGGTAGTATTCATTTTCAATAGAATTGTTATAATTTTCTAGTACAGTGATAATTCGAAGCCTTTATAAACCAATTACATAGTAAATAGAAGTAAGAATCATTTAATTATACTATTAAAAATGAAGCAAAACTCATTAAGGTAATAATTCTGCAGTTATTATTGCATACTGCTTACTTACAAGAATGGCCCATCATTGCCTCTGATCGTACTAAGAGCTGCGATTCGTCGGCAGACATTATCGGACTTAACATAAAGGTCAATCAAAAATTCTGGTCAAATATCGCAAACTAGATTAAAATATGTAGATATAAATAATGTTCCAGTCATGCGTTGATTTATCATGGCAATAAGCGTAAAAATTGGATATTAAAAACTATGCAGATGTACTCAGTTCATGATTGAAATTATCCGATCATTATTTATAAAGCACACATGGCGGTAATACAGTGCTATAATTAGATTTATTAAATTAGTTTCGTTCATTAGCTTGATCCTAGGGTAAGTCCTTGAATTCAACATTTTACATTAACATACTTACAATCAACTTATAAACCGTCGTACTATTCCAGGTGGCCAAATTAGACAAATGTAGATAATCTGGCATAGCACGGCGTGCTATAGTCTTTGCAGTGTGCTGAGGTTGTTGAGGAAATAGTTGCCTCTGGCATATATGGCGAATCACATCATTATTTGCTTTCTATTGGGGTAATAATATATATGTAATTAAGGGCTAACCTCATTCAGGGATATTTACATTTAAATACGCCTATAAGGTATGATGTACTATTTTGCAGAAGGACGAGCACTTGGCTAAAATTTTACTATTTGAATGAAGATAATAATCTTACGCGTTTCCAATGAAGCAATGGCAAGAATTGATTTTGGTACCGTTTCTCATAACTTGTTTGTTGCTTGTTAATAGCGATTGAATCCAAGGTAATTGGGTTGTACCGATTATGCCCAGGGGTGACTCGAAAGTAACGTTTCTTATCTGGGTCGAAATAAAACCCTGGAATTTTTACTAAAGAGTTAAGGATTTTACTATAATCGATATGATGGAAATGTTCATCTAAGATGATGTACAATTTCATTTATTCTTTACGCGTTACTAACATCAATTCTGCAGCACTGTGCATTGCAATATTTCTATCACCATCAAAACACTGTTTGTTTACTACGAACACTGTCTAGTAAAGACTAATATGATAACATTTCATTAATGTACAGGTACGAGGTCGAACGAGCCATCCATCACTGATATGCAAGACATACACGGGCTATCTAGCTATTCATTTGTCTTTACTATAGTGTGCAACGTTACTCGCTTAAAGTACTGCTGAATGTGAGATTTGCTTGCAAATACTCGTTGATACAAATACACTACTTACTGTGGTAAACGAATATAATTACAATAGATACAGTAGGAAATATGCACCAACAGAGATCGATTGGTGATATACTGTATTGATTCATTATTAAGGATATCTGGATTGTTGCTCATTGGACCGGCAGTCTTGAACGAGTTTTACACCAGATTCAGATTGAATTGACAACAAGTCTTCCTCTACAACAAGCTTGATATCATTTCTGAGGTCGCTGTCTTTGCAAAAGTTGTACTGTTTGATACTATAATCAAGACGATTATACAATATACAGCAGCAGTAAACAGAACGATTTAATTGACGCTCCTTGTCATCTTTATGGTATCCACTGGTTATGCCTGTCAAAGTTACAGAATATTCCTAAACATTACTTACAGTAGACTTAAGTAAAGCCAATGTAGTTGCAGCTCGTTGCAGCCGTTGAAAAAGCAAAGCTCTTCCTCTCTTGTACTTGTAGTACAGTACAGTATTCTACAATATACAGTACTATACTGTACAGTACAGTACTGTACATTACAGTACATTATACTGTGTGTCATCGAGTGTGGACGGAAAGGTGGATGGACGAGAAGCTTTAGTTAGGCCGTTCGCATATTACCAATACTGTGCACTGTACTGTACGTTGTAAGCCATTAAAGCACATATTGATTCCAGTTATTATTTGAATCCATGATAAGCTAACACCAAGTTCTTTCATAGAGTTTGAGACACCGTCTGGCTTAGTTGTCTACTCTAGTCAGTAAACTTGAAATGGAAGCAACGTAAAAATTATAGTAAAATGATCTTTGCAAATGAATTTTATGTTGACTGACCCTGATACAGCAAGAATATAGATCTCTTCTTCCCTTATCCAAATGACTTCCTATTCTAATTTTACTGTACTACAGTGGTAGTTTAGTAAATTTACTCGACATGGATAGTGTTATTCCTGGCACACGACGTAATCGTTTTACTTAGTGAAAAGAAGGTATCATGATCATTATGGACTACAGTCATTAGTCCATCAATTCATGAATACCAAAGTTATTATGGGCAGTTGCATTCAACTTGAGTGTATCCTAGGTATCGCCACAGTTTGACTCCAAATTGACTCGGATTTACACTAAAAAATGAATATTCAGAAGTCCCTAACTCAGTAAAATGCGCTTCCATTTTTTTCCCTTTTTTCTGCCTTCGTACCAACAGTCCAAATCGATACCAACTGTGCTGTACACTGTACTGTACAGTCTATGTACACTGTACTGCACAGTACAGTACTGTAGAATACTTGTCTTCAGTATCCTCTGCTGTACTGTATGACGTGCCCGAACGCACGACGCAACTAGTTTGACCTGCTTTGACTGGTTGAACGTGCCAAGGGTAACCCAAATATTATTATTATTCATTGCAAGTTGGTTTCCTCTTGGCGCCACAACGGGGAAGATTGGTGTGGATTGTCGCCATTTCTCTTTCTCCTTAACAGTTGATTCTTTCACTGGCAAAGCCAATTCTTTGATCCACTTGGTTTTACTGTATCTCACTGAAGAATAGGTACGTTTTGATCCATGTTCACTAAGAACAAGCTTAATCAATGAAAGAAGACCAGCAAGAGGGATCATTCCCACTCAATGGCCATCAATTGACTTGACTTACGTCTAGCAGTCACTTTGACTGTCTGTCTCCTATTCTTTTTTTCCTAGTCGTTCCTGGTCAGCATTAGCATCAATAGATTGATTCCTCCCCTATATTAATTGATAGAATTACCACCGTTTCTTCTTTATTCTTTGAAAATCCTTTCCCCAAATCATCCTATAGGCAATAGTCGATAAGTTTGTTCAAAATTGCTTTCAACCGTGTTCGCCATATCTTTTCGACTTGTTGGAGTATGGATAAAACCTCGATCTAGTACAGTGAAAAGAATGAGCTCAAGGTTATCGTGGATATTGAATTGACTAGTGTATTTGGACGATGCGGTACTGGGCTAAATTGAATAAATGGTTACCGAATTTCAAGCATAACTGCCAAGATGCCTTTTCATATAGTATCCACAAGTGCATCTATTGCCAACTAGTCCATTTTCTCCCTAATAATATCGATGTCAGTTGTACGTAATAGACTGCATGGGTTGTTCTAGATGCATTTGCAATGGTCAAGCCGACATAATAGACAAGTGCAATAGTAAAATTGTACGTAGTTCTAATTTGGACTGTGCCGTCGACCACGATATTTTTGGACGATGATTCTTCACATTTCAATCGAATTTAATGACATTCAGTTCCATGGAATCCAATCAGATTAACTCTTTATGTCTAGTTTAAAATTTCAAAATGATAACTTACATTACTGTGAATCGACGAGGAATGATTATTTTGAGATGGAATGCGTAAAATTAAATTGATTATCATGCGTACTCATTTTTTCCCATGAATTGTGAAACGGTCCTATTTCTATCAATGAATTTTATTCTTTGTATAGTAGTATACTGACTGTTATTGCATGGGAGGGCTATGAAGTTCTTCTCATTTCCAGTTGAATGATGGGAAAGTCAGAGCTATTTCGGTAGAAAATCACCAACGTTGATAGTATTACTGGAGATGATATGCTCGAGGTTCTATCAATTCTTTGCTTATCGTTCTGCATTATCATCGAATCACTGGATGACGATAAATGATCGATAGATAGCTAGAGTATTCTGCCATAGAAAGTATTGTGATAATAACTAATTAATTAATTAATCTTGGCTATCATTTAACTTAAGTACTATAGTTGGGGCACTGTACGATACTGTATTTTATAGTAATACCCATGGTTAGAATCCTAATTTGATCAATGTAGATTAAGCTAATTCATTGATTTCTTATTGATTTGGGTTAGCAGTGAATGAATATGATTTCACTTTGTGTTTAGCCTGTAAACAAATTGACCCTGTGATCTCATTATATTTCTATATTTCGACTGTTTGGCTATCGTAGCATAAATTGTACCGTACCAACACTATGAAACTACTTCATCAATGGCTTGCTCAATTATATTTGTTAACTTTACTGCTATAATCAATTGCGTCAATTAACGGTTTTATTTTTTGTAATATTCGAAGAAAATGAAAAGAAGAAAAGAGCAAGCTTTTCTATCATCAACAAGTGACGATGATAATAGTGATATGGATTTGAGCCAGGTATAGGATTATTCATCATGAGTAATGAAATCAGATTGAACTATTTTTTCAGTAGTTTAATTGCAGTTTTTCACGAGTAACAAGAAAGAAGAGATTTTTGTTAACTTCATTATGGTCTTGTAGTAATATATCAAATTAATGATGAATTAGAAATTGCTCAGTTTACCAAAAAGATCACGGCAAGGCGGTGCAACACAGAAAGATACCAGTAATAGTAAAAAAGCAATTGTAGAGGAAGATAACTCTGCAAGTAGTGATTCAGAATCTGAATTAAGCGATGATGAAGAGGTAAAATTGTACATTTTAACATCCTATCATTTTCATAAACTATAAAATCCGAGAAGAACAATAATGCTAAATAAAATGCAATCATATGTACCTATAACTTATAAGTATACGTTATCTTTTCTTTCTTTAGTGGACAACTTCGAAGAAGCAACAACGCCAGAAGGCCGCTAATGCAGCTAGTAAACGCAAAAATAATCGAGGTGGAAAGCGTGGACAACAGCGTCGCCGAAAGAAAAAATATTCTTCAGAGTTGGAAGATTCAGAGGAAGACGACGATGCAAATATTGAAGATCAGCTAGAAGACACAGACAGCGATGAAGATGAAAGTAGTGACGAAGATGGGCAGGCATCTTCTACTTCATCCGAATCATCATTCGATGAAGCACGATTTGACGATGGCTTAGACGATGACTTGATGGGGGACGATGAAGATCGAGCTAGGTAACGTGTAATGCTTTTATTATTATCTGGATGTTTGCTATGTTCATAAAAGTTGACATAAATACTTTATTTACATTTACTGTATACCAATTAGCGTTATAGCGTAGACTTTATTATTTAATAAAAAAGTTTCAATACGAGTTCGTGTTTACAATTCTTATGAAAACATTTAAAAATGAAACAACTACAAAACTAGTATGATAAACACTTGGACAAAGGTAGTCTCAGTCGATGCTGAAACTTTACCCGCATTATATTGAATGTTACAATATTATATAATTATATAACATAGAATGGCTAAACTAACGGAAAAAGAAAGGGAACAAGAATTATTTAATCGCGTTGAAAAAAGAGAAGCTCTGAAAACACGTTACACAATCGAAATGAAACTAAGAAAGGCAAGGAAAGATGAACGAAAGAAAAAGAAGAATATATTAGGTATTGTCAAGTACCGTTATAAAAATGTTGTATGATAACAGTAACAAAATCCATGCATAATAATTTGATAAAATATCATCCTAAGATTTTTCCGTGATGTTTTATCGTAAAATAAATTGACTTACTTTTTTAATGCGATACTTATTATTCTAAACTGAATGGATGGTCATTCCTTGTACAATTAGTTATCATGCATTATATATTCGTGTCAGTAATAACGGTACTGCGAGTATTACTTTAGTTCTAAAGCCTGCCTGCCTTACCAGTTAAAATTAGACTGTATAAACTCATTAGTTCTATCGCTGTTACTAATACTATTTTAAATCATCGCATTGCACAACTGAATGAGCAGCAGCCAGTGCATTAGATCGCCAAGATAGACGGCGTGCAATGAAGCGAAAGCGTGATAAAGAACTTGAAAAAATAAGAAGCAGACGCGAAAAAAGGATTTCGAAAAAACCAGCTGAACCTACTACTTTTATGCAATCACGTCGCCACTTGACAACAAGTGATGTCTTTACCGATGATGACGATGACGATATCAGAGGTACTTCAAAATCCGATACTGATAATTTCAAAGATGGTTATTCGCCAATACGACATTATGAGTAAGTTTATATTCTAGATATGCTAATTTATCTAACTATTGACTAGCTCGCAGATGGACGGCCGTCACTACTACTAATAAGACGTCTATACTATATAGTACTGCATGAGTACTCATGAGATATTTGTTACTATGAATAACCCTAAATTTTATCTTACTACTGTTTAAATATACAAGTTCTCCGCAATCAGAAATCGTCACTTATATAACAACAAGAGCTCAATTATCAACAATTAGATTATCCAGAAGCAAGTTAGAAAGGTAAATGACTCATAAATATACTTTCTAATTATTTTAGCAAGTTTTATCTTTTGTATAGGATACGAGTAGTTGTAAGTAGTGAATCAGTCTTTATGGCTAATGATTACTAAAATTTCGTTTTAGTTATCTTTGTTATAAATATTTATTTCTGTAAATTTTCCACAAGTATTTCAGTAGACAATAAATAAGTAGATGGTACCCTAGTACCGCATAATATGCTATTACTCTATACTTTTATGTTGTATGACAGATACTCGATATGGAATTTTTCAAGTTTGAATCCGAAAATATTTTATTTTGTTAAATTAATGTAGATATATATTTGGTTATTCATTTCCTCTATAGATGGGTTCACATGCCTTTTTTTGCAGAAACTGTAGTCGGATGCTTCGTTCGCGTCGGTATTGGAAGTCACGAAGGAAAACAAATCTACAGGGTATTGTCTCATATTACAGATATCGACATACATGCATAAGTACCATGTAGACCTCTGCTTATAAGTCATGTATAATTGTATGAACAGGTAGCTGAAATCATAGATGTTATTGAGAGTGGTAGAGTGTATAATTTAAATAAAACATCGACGAATAAGGTGTTACATCTAAGGTCTGTAAGCTTGCATAATTGTAAAGTAATGCACAATTGATAGTATTATGATAATTTGGATAGTAGGTTTCGCCTTGTCAGCAGCCACGGATATAAAATATGCATACGTATTTTGTTGTTATAGGCATGGACTAGATGAGCAAAATTTTAGAATGGAATATGTATCAAACAGCAATTTTACGGACAATGAATTTCTTAAATGGAAGACAAAGGTAACCCGAATGTTATAAAATTATATATTATTGCACTGTTGACGAAACAGCTGCTAAGATTTGATGAAACTGCAACATGTAGATGAAAGAATTGGATCTTAATTTGCCAAGCCAAGACGATGTTGACAAGAAAAAGGAAGATATTATAAGGGCTGCTAATTATAACTTTGATGATGCTGACATTGATGAGGTACCTCGTACGTTTAATTCGAAAGTAATAGAGGGTAGTGAACTGACTTGTTGCCTTACGACTTTATGCATCGTTATTAATTGCAATATTAGATTATCGCCGAAAAAGATAAGTTTCGTAAAAATCCTTCCAATTTCGCAGTGAAGCAAAGTAAATTAGAGCAAGCAATGGTATGATGAACGGATAAAAAGAGAATTAATCAATAAGTTGTGCGCAATTGCTGTAGTTAGCTAGCCAATAATTTACTACAATATGCCAATGTGATTTTAGGAAGCTGCTCAGTATCGTGGGGATGAAGATGAAGTTAATCGTATTAAATCAGAGATTGAAAATTTGGATAAAAAGGCTGAGCAAATTAGCAAATGGCGCTCCCAAAGGCTGGATCCAATAATGTAAGCGTGATATCTCGATTTGAATTTAATCACTGAGGCTAGACTCAAAGGATATTGTCTTATGTAAATTTTAAAATATCTCACACAGGTCTATTAATCAGAGGAATCGCCAAAAAAACTTAGCAGAAATAGAGAAAGCTCTAGCTGTATGAACTATAAGAAATAAGCGTAACGTTTAAGTTTTCCTTAAAATTGAAAATTTATTTTCGTTATTTTATTAGAGGGAAGTTGCATCGGATGGTGTTTGTGCCGACCCATTTACTCGGAGAAAGTGCCAGCCAATTTTAGTCAGCATGGTAAGATTCCGTATTTATGTGCTAGATTGACTTTTGCAGCTGCAATTCCTACGGTTAAATATAGTTAGATTGAGCTTAAATTGTATTTAATAGTATTTCAATTTTATAATTTAGGTAAAGGACGTACAAAATGTCTACACTAGTAGCCCGACCAAGTCCTCTAATAAATTGCCAAAATCTAATTTAATGGAAAATAGTAATGTACGTTCTCTTAAGTGTTATTCAACTATGTACGATATCATGATATATATATATTGAATTGGATATTCTACAGATGTCTGAATCATCCATTGGGCAAACGCCGATCGCAGCTGAGTTGGTAAGAGTTGAATATGGTCGCACGTAAACTTTATTAAATTAAAATTTTAAGGATGAACTTTGATATATGTGTAATTGATGCTTTGATACATCTAGAATAATATATCTTCGCAAGACTTGGGTGCGTCGCCTAAATTAGAAGGTCAGAAAGAAGTTGTGAACTTGTTTAGTGCCCACGACTTTGACGTGAAAATTGATATCGATGTTGGTCCGCCAGGTATGCAATTGTACCTAATTCAGGCATATCTGTATTTTCTGCTACCTGAGAGTTAATGTGATTGTCTTTTGTTTGACAATTGGTATCCTCATAGCCCCAGGAATATCCATTCCTCGGAAGCAGACAGATAATAAAGCAGCAAATCAGGGAACATCAAGAAGATGCTTAAACCTTAGCGATTATAAGAAACGAAAAGGATTAATCTAAGTGTTCTCGTTGTTACAATAAAGCAATGTATAATAACTATGGTGTAAATATGTTCCCGTAGTAATTTTAATTTGTTATGAAATCATTACAGTAGGTTCATGGAACATTTAAAAGCTATTTTTATGGCGTTTCTCTTATACTAATGACAAGTTGTATTTTATGGTGTTGTCTTAAATGTTATGTTATGCTTTACATTTATGATATCTTTAGCTTCTCATAGCAATGCACTTATGTAAATACTTCGGAGTTTGCGCTTGTATATAGCGTTCCTGAATGATCTCTTAGAGCAATAGATGAAATTCACCTAATTTTAAATTAAGACGCCCTTATTTTAGCTTGTATTAGGTTAAGCAACATTTGGTCTTAGTAATAAAGCACCCTACATTCGTATATTGAGATAATGACTAATGCGAAAGATCAGTTTATGCGTATTTTAATATTACTGCTTTAGTTGATTGGATTGGCAATACGACTTTCATACCCATGTAATTAAAAGAGCATAATTTATATAGTGAACCGTGTACATTTATAATCATGAAGTCATGATGATAAAGCTGCAAGATTTAGCAAGGTTTCCTCCGTAATCAAATCTTTTCTTTCATTAGCTAAGATCTTTATGAAGTACTATAGTTAGCTGTATTGTCTTTCTTAGCCGTTTTCAACATGTATCACGTAACTGTATCAAGGATAGGTTGCCTACGAATATTCTAGTTGCTGAAGACGAATTAAATCTTATATGATATACACGCATTAGTCTTTCATGAGTCACAAGCTCTATAGAGGCACATAAAACAATTTCACGAACTTTATTTCAAAATAGTTCCCCGTTTTTCATAAAAAAAATGGTAAGTATTGAAATAATCCTAAGGTAATATAAATAAACGTAAAATACCAAATTATAACCTTTCTAACGGTTGACATAAGGGTACTTCATTGCTGCAATATCAAGTGTTTTGACATTGCAATTACTAATTTTGGAGGGTTGATGAGCAATAATATCGCGAGATTGTGCTTAGTACAAAAACAATCACGCGCTAAGAGCAATTCAAGTTTACAAGGCACGTGTAAGTGTAAACAGGTTAGCACTCCAGGATAATACTGTATTATGTACGGTGTTAGAAATTATTTAGACGAATTTAGATAATAAAGGGTTTAACTTCAAGCTGCCAAACAATGATGAAACGAGAATGCCGAAATAGATGTTAATAAGGCACCAATCCCTTTAGTCTCTGCAACATTTCTCAGTAGATTTTATGCTAGAATTGCTAAGCTAATTTCGGGGTCTGATACCTATATAGTAAGATTACAATAATTATACATTCTGGTGGATGCATCATGAAAATACGATGAGATCATTTACGCTGTGTTCTACAGTTATCGCTGCTACGTTCATACTCTGATAGCCCCTCGATTAATGGTATGCGTCCTGTCTTGAATGTCTTTGCATGAAAGTAGAAAAAAATTTACTTCGTTTTGTATTTATATTCTATTCTCTTAATCTTATGTACACTTAGGAAAATTAGTGAATATAGCGGTCATTTCGATTAAGATAAAGAAGACTATATTATTTCTTTGTTATTTATTTGCTTAAGTGATGACTTCAATTTTATGAGAATAAAAACGTAAATTTACTGTTAAAATTTGCCACTAACGTCTTAGATAAATAATAATCTAGGCTCTAGTCATCTACGTAGCTGACAGTATAATGAATAACAAATACATAGTGAGATTTAATAAAATTCTCTGCACTTTCAGAAGTGATCCTTCATTATGATAAGCTTAATAAAGTTTACGTTGGTATAACGATAAGAAAATAATAACGAGAGTTAATTACTTATACGAGATCTTGGTAAAACCTATACTTTGATCAGATATTACGATGACTCTTCATTGTAAAAATAATAGATACCTCACCAATTACAATTACAATTATAATAGCCAGATAATCGTAGCATACTCGTAAATGAATTTATTTTACAATAATAAACTGGTGACATAGTTACAAGAATACCGAAATTAAGGGATAATAAAGTATCTATATTTAATTATTACTAACAATCCAATTCCTGGTGTTTACGTTTTGGACTTGTTTTAAAGGGGTGTAAGCGAATATAACAATAGAATTTGGAGCTGCTGTTAAAATTCTATAAACCAATTTTCCGATACGTTAGTCGGAATGATCTACTATTTACAATAAATCTTAGCTATTAATAAATGATAAACATATATTTTAATATAATAAATCTGGTAAAAATCCTGTTTTTAATCTATTTGCAAAATACCATTCTCGCGTTATTATTTTACTAGAGTTAAGAATCTTATAGTAACCCATGTCTATAGAATTGTTGAAAGTTCTATCTTGTAATGATAACATACTTCTGTACTTTATATTAAAAGCCCTAAAATACCAGAATGTAACTGTCACAAACTTAACTTGCGAAGTACTATCCTAAACTAATGATTACTTATTCCTATTTCCACTACACCTGGAGATCTACTGTGTGGTAGTCCTATACTACTTACAGTCACATAGTTGGCAGCTTATCTGTGTAGTCGAGAGTTAGTTCAACTACGATAGTAGCCTAAGTCAGTTTCTAATAACTCTTGATCGTTATCTGCACCTAGTTTATCCTTTTCAAAATTCTCGCTTATCTAGTAAAACTACTATCTTGGCGTTAGCAGTTCTTTGGATAATGTCAATCGCATTAGTTGGATTACCAATTATTTATAGTATTAATCAACCGTCAATTAATCGTCTATATTCTAGTAACATTGCATGTTTGCCTTGCAATTTTAATAATCCATATTTATTAACGTGGCTATTGTGTTATGCTGGATTAACCTTCGTCGTTTAGATTTTTATTGCAATCATGTATGTCATAACTCTATCGACACTGGCAAATTCACGTAAAGAAGCTCATAGACGTTTATCAAACACTGATAAAATTATTCGGGCTAAAATGATTACTATCATAGTAACGAATTTAATTTGTTGGCTACCATTATATGTAATATTAATTCGAGATTTTGGTTCTGGATTAGACACGCATTCACTCCCATTTATTGCTGTGTTATCATTGCCACTAAATTCATGTATTAACCGGATTCTTTTTACACTCTTTACAACTACTTTTATTGATTACATTAACTTGGTTATTGGAAAGTTAAATTGCTGTTCATGTTTAACATTCTTTCGATCAATTCATAAGTCAAATTCAAGGCAGTCAACTACAAGGGAGTAGGTTAAGGCCTATTTCTAAAGTAAAGTGATTTATATATTTCTGAAGCCTTATTATATGCGATTTCTTTAACCATTAAATATTAATATATATCTCAACGAATAAGAAACAATGTATAACAATTACAGTAGTCCTAATTTATCTGAGGTAATCCATTTTAAAAGATTCGCAATGTTCAAAATCAAGTATTTTACGCATTTGCTTTTGCCTAGTACGGTTATTCCGTATTTCTTACTTTAAACCATAAACTATCTTGGCTTTAGCGAGACTAATTTTAAAATCCTTTAGCAATATCTAACATAATCATAAATTTTATTCGTCTAGTACTTGCTTTAACTATTGTACAATCTGAACTGGATCAGTAGCGTTTACCTTACTTCATATCGTGACCATTACTAGAGCGAAAGTACGGTAGTGATTTTCATGCAATTTGCAAAACAAACGCATATGACAATTGCATGACATGAACAGCTCTTTCCTTATAGCATAAAGGCTAGAGTAAACTTTGCTAATACTTAAGGGAGATGTATTTCGATGAGTAATGAATTCGAATAGTCTGCTATTCTTATAGCTAGTATAATCACTAAAATTATTGAAAATTATATTACATTTATCCAAGATTTATACAGGGTATAGGCATATCATTTATTTATTGTACTTAATATTATCTATCACTAGTAGTACAGAATAGCCATGTTAAGTAAGATTTTTTGATTAGCTCATATGTACGTATAATTAACTTCGATGCAAGGATTACATCAAAGTCGAATTACCTCATAATTACAAAGCGAATCATTTCGGTTAGATGCAGTTTTACAACGTGAAAGATAGCTTGCTTTGGAAAAAGGAGATATTATTTTATACATACATCAAATCGTAAAACTGTGAATTAAAAAATATTTTTAGTTGTTCGTGGTACTGTGAAGGAAATGAATGTAGAGTCGAAATAGATGGTGTCAAGAAGCTATTTCTGAATATATTGTAGGTCCTATATTTTTAGTATTTATAGTGGATTAGGTACCGTTTGTATTCATGCGGTTGTATTTACAAGATATATTCTCTTTTCTGCAGCGTAACTTGTTATTAAGCAGATGCCACTGACATAATGCTACTGAGCAATTCCATTCGTTTGCAATCCAATTCCCTAACATCGCAGCAGATTTTTCATATTATTATTAAGATTATACAAGCAATCCAATCTTTGCACCTGAATAATATAGTCCATGGATCAATTGATACCGATGCTGTTGTTCTTCTTATCCCGCCAAAGGTATGTGAAAGCATGTTAAGGACAGATATTTGAAAATGCGACAGTTCTTAAATATTTAATTTTTCATTAGTTTATTTTTACTTTGATCATGTCCACAATTTGTGCAAATACAATGTAAATATTGTGTATTTCATTAACAATTTTTAGTGGGTAACAAATTTCAGAGATACAATTCTAGTTATTCGAGTATAATCCTCATTACGGATTAGTTGAATTCCTATCACTATTTGTAAACGCTGTTATCTATCCTTTATAGTAATGACATGATATAGGTGATAACTGATTGCTTATTTAACTTTATATTTGGGAACTGATTAACGCCTTATTAGACAAATTTTCAAAACGACAAATTAAAAAAATGATCTTCATGAAATATGCAGAGATCGATACCGTCAATTAATGAGTGCAGATATTTCTGATTTTGTGTTGCTACGCAATGAATTAATTTCATACTCCCAAACGCTGATCGATCAAATGAATAAGAGCCAATT